TCTGCTTAAAATATGGTTGATCATAAATCTGTCATGGCTCAACCCAACCTGGTGCCTAAGAAACCGTTTCATCTGCCTGATGAGAGAGGTTTCTCTGATCAGGATCAGAAGCCTAGAAACCATTATTCCAGGCTCCACATTCCAATCATAGACCATCATTCACGATCCATTGCTTTTTAAAGCTTCTTTCTGCATTTATTTCAGCACAACCTGTTATGTTAATTTGACCTCCTATAAGATTGCTTTGAAAACAAAGCAAAAATGTTCTAATTCTCATTTTTGAAAATATAGAATGTAGAAGTTGATGGCAGCAAGAACCAAAAGGAGTAGACTTGTCTAGTCAGTTATAAAGTGTTTCGTTCATTTCCTAACTTTGTTTCTATTTTTCACTTTTTAGATTCAAGGTTTCAAGCATCTTTTGTTTGTTGAAACAAGGCTGGGATAAGAAAGGGATTAATTTCTTAAACATCAGTACACAGTTCAGTGTTGTAATATCCAGTTTTATTTATGAGACAATTGCTAAACTGATAATTATGTTGTAACACAGGAGCTGGTATTTCGGTTCTGCCAACCCATAATCAAGCTACATCTAATACCGCTAACATTGTTTTAACAAAGAAAGCTTCAATTTATTTGGGAGAGGTATTTACATAGCAAACAATTATGAAGAGAAATTCAATGAAAATATAATCAAGAGGTGAATGAATGAAAACAAGCATGTATGCTGTAGCAACTGCTGGTTGGTAATGCTGGACCATTACTTCTTGACAGGATTATTGTCTTTCTAATCACTCTAATCCCCTCTGATAGGTCCATCTATAATCCATCCGTTTCAAAGCAATATCCAGATGGCTCCTGGTGGGGGATGGAACAGAACAAGCTGGAGAGGCATGAGTTGAATCGGTTTATGGTCAGCCCCTTATGTTTCCCTTTTCCAGAGTTATTACATCTGAGGCTTCCACCATTGAGAAATTGAGACAATGAATTAAGCAAAGAGCTAAAGCACAGATGAATTTAGATAAACCTAAATTCCATGTACCTATCAGATTTGTGAACCTTTTAGCTAGTTTCCTTGCCACTGTTCAGAAAGAATGGAACACTGAATTAAGTTGTCTTAATGATGGCCACTCTGGAAAATGGTTCAAACTAACATTTGGAAGATATTTTCATGTACCAGATACCTTATTTAGCCCTATGGAATAGGCAGGCATATTATCACCATTTTAATAATGTTTTGCTAGCTGACATGCTGAAAGTATTGAGCTTATCTTTATGAAGTCTCGTGTGGGTTCAGCTCCACTTCCATCTTTTCAATAAATACTTGAAACAACAGGGAAGCCATGAGGCAATAGCTTCTACTTGACTTCTTGAGTTTAATGTAGATCATTCCTTCTTTATGCTAGTGTTGTCTGTGTACAATTCTAGGCATTGTAAGAAGTAAATTTTATACCATATATAGTAGACAAAATTGCTATCTTTGGAAATAGGTTCCGTTATTTCTTTGTTGTTTAGTACAAAATACCTGTCATAAGAGGTGATAGGCCATAACTGATCTTGGAAAAGAATAAATACAAGTTTATCAGGAAATTTCCAGATTGTAAACAAGGCTCAGTAGTTAAAAAAAATAAATAAATCCCAGAAGCAGTAGACAAAAACACAGAACCCTTATAGAATTTTATGCCTTTACATTCATTCATTCATTCATTCGTTTGTTTGTTTGTTTGTTTATTTATTTATTTGCCACCCATCTTACCTCAGGGTAACTCTGGACAGCTTACAATCATAAATACTACACACACACACACACACACACACACACACAAACAAATTAATACCAACTGTTAAAATCCAATTACAGATGGGGAAGACGAAGGGGGTGAGATGGGACCTGTTGTTAGTTGATTAATCACCTTCACAATGATGTTCCCCCATTGAGGCCCCAAACCAACTGGCAGAGCCAGGTCTTTAGGCCCTTAGAAAAGGTCAAAAGGGTGGGGTGACCTCACATCAGCGGGGGGGGGGGGGGGGCAAGATGTTCCAGAGGTTAGGTGAAATTTGTCTAATCCTTCCCTGAATTTGTCTAATCCTCTCTTAAACCTATTTACAATGCGACAGATCACCACTTCAGATGTCAGCAAATTCCATAGTTTAACTTTAGAAAGGAAATTACATGCCTTGTGCAGTGCTAGTAGCCACATCTGAACTCACTGTATCTTTGGAAGTAGAAGACTACCTAGTTTGCAAAGGAAGTTGAAAATATTAAATGTGGTTTGTAATAGTAAACATTAAATATAGGAAGAGGACTTAGCAGAAGGAAGTTGGAGTATCAGGTTTTGAACTGGTTTTAGCACAAGAGGTTCAGTAAACAAGACTCTCTAGCATGTGCTGGAAGAGAGGGGTGTGGAATTTTGAAGAAATAGTAACAGAAATTGTTACTTTTTAATACCAAATAAATGTTAATTTGTCTTGGAATTATTGTAGGATTTACATCTGAAGATTCCTATGGGTAGTCCTTGACATGACCATAATTGAGCTCAAAATTTCCATTGCTAAGCAAGACAGTTGTTAAGTGATTTTGCCCATTTTATGACCTTTCTTGCCACACTTGTTAAGTGAATCACTGTAGTTGTTAAATTAGTAACACATTTGTTAATTGAATCTGGCTTCCCTATTGACTTTGCTTGTCAGAAAGTCTCAGAAAGTGACCACATGATCCTGGGACACTGCAGTCATCATAAATACAGGCCAGTTGCAAAACATCCAAATTTTGGTCATGTGCCGATGAAGATGTTTCAGCGCTCATCAATGTGAAAAACGGTGATAAGCCATTTTCTTTGGTGCCGTTGTAACTTTGGTAATTAAATGAATGGTTGTAAGTCGAGAACTACTTGTAGTTTGGCGTGGTAGAATGCTGATAACTAGTTTTCCACAATGCTCTGTAACTAGTTTCCAAAGTATTCAAATTTGATTGTTTTTTTTGCTTAACTTTAATTAAATTTTACATTGAATCTTATTTTGTTCTCTCTCTCTCTCTCTCTCTCTCTCTCTCTCTCTCTCTCTCTCTCTCTCTCTCTCTCTCTCTCTCTCTCTCTCTCTCCTCCAACCCTATAAACTGGAAGCTTAGATTATAACATAGATAGGAAAAACAGATGTATATCCTCCCAACTGCTTTTTGGGAGAATTATGACTAATTTATCTGTTTTTAGGAACATTCAGTCTTTCCAACTCAACTTCCTTTTAAAAGGAGCTTTTTTGATTTCTTCCTTTTGCCTGTTTTGTTTAAACTGTAAATCTGCTACTTTTAATGCATTAAATGAAGCAAAAAACATGATTGTTTTTTAATAACCATTTGAGCATTGCCTTCTCCTAGGGATCAAGTATTATTTTCTTATTACTTGAAAGAGTACTTTAATATTCTCAACATCTGGGAAGTTATTTTGTAACTGTAATCATGGATAATTTTCTTGTATCTGATATTAAAGAATAAAGATTCTAGAAAAGAGGGCATATGCTAATATACAGTGAAACTAAATACAATAAAATCTCACATATATTTTTACATTGATGTACAAACAAAACCTGGAATATTAGACATTGACAAATATACATATAAAATTATTAATTTTCAGGACACATTATTTTATGCTGGAGGACAAACTCTACTTCAACATGACTTCTTTAAATGATAGTCACTACATTAGAAAAAAAGAAACCATTAATAATTGTTAGTTTGGCTATTGTTAATAAGGTGTGTTGAAGGTTTTGCCAATCCTGATTTCATCTCAGATATGCTGCAACTTATACTGATAAAACAACTGGGTTATCTTTTGATAGCTAGATGCCTCACTGGAAAATTATACTTGTAAACATCTGAGAGTTTTGCCATTTCAACGAGAAGACAAATAGCCTAGATCAGGGGTAGGCAACCTTGGCTCTTTTATGACTCGTGGACTTCAACTCCCAACTCCTGGCTGGCTCAGGAATTTTGGGAGTTGAAGTCCATGAGTCATAAAAGAGCCAAGGCTGCTTACCCCTGGCCTAGATCATCTCTATATTTAACAAAAGATCCCGTTTCATTCTATCTAAGGATTTCACCTGGTACAAGCATGGCCCTAAATCAGCCACAAGTGCCTTATTATTTTGCCTAATTTAGAGTCCTTAAACTGAAATTCAACAATTATTTTATAAAAATTCAGCATCTCAATCATTTTAATCTGAATTTGTATATATTATAAAACTCCATTATCATATTGGACTGACCTGGATTCTTATGACTTTCCAAATCTAAAAATAATTATAGCTATGCAAAAAAACCCCAATTAATACATAATGTTAATAGAGCTTTAGCAATGTATAAACAATTGCGCAGTCATCTAATGTTACAGTGTCATTCTCTTTCATATATGGCTGTCCTGTGACACCTCCATTTTTCTGCAAAGGTCAAGCAGATGAAATAGCTCTAAAGTGCTTTTTCAATTGGTAGCAGGATCAGTCTTAGACGCACTCAACGGTTGCAAAAGGTATTTTTTCTTAGATGTGCTGTAATCTGTACCATGCATGGAGAATATATATAGTGTTTGGTCTCACATATTTCAGTCCATTTTATATGCCTATCTAATAATAAAAAAGAAATATGAAGAAAATTTTGGGGTGGGATTAGGAAAAATTAAGACATTTGTTTGCTTAAATAACATACAACAGACAAATCTTTAGGGATGAGTCCATGTGAATCTTCTATTTTAATTTAACTGAAGCCTTGAAACTTGAATACAAAGTATGAATTAACCACATACATCTAGGTTTCAAATATGGTTTTCTGCTCTTTCCTGATCAGCTCCTTCCAACAGTCTCCTGCAAAAGACGCCTAAGGCAAGTCTTCTTTTAATCATCTTTGCTCAAAGAAAAGTTAGATCTAAATCTGTTGTCCTTTCCCTGGATATAGTAATAGACCTAATCGAATAAGAAGGAAAAAAGACATACTTTGTGTTTTCTTTCAACAGCCTGATGTCAGGACTAGCAGCTCTGGATGCTAAAACTTCTAGTCGATTAGGCATCATTACAATCACTTACTATCTGTGGACTACATTTGTGGCTGTAATTGTGGGAATCATTATGGTCTCTATTATCCATCCCGGTGGAGCAGCCCAGAAGGAAATTACTGAAGAAGGTGCGAAGCCAATAATGAGTTCTGCAGATGCATTGCTGGACCTAATTCGGTAACAACATTCTCACTGCTTTTATGAAGGGTCAGATTTTATATATTCAGTGATATTGTGGTGAATGATCACATTTTTAAAATACATGTTTTTAAATCCATGAATGCTAAAGGTCAATGATGAATTCATTGAAAAGAACCTGAAACTTAATTGGAACTTCCTTCTAGTCCCTAAAGTGAAAAATATTTTAGCACGTATGAATGTATCCTTTCTTGCTTCAGGATCACCATTTTCCCTAATATCTAAAAGTAAATAATGGAGGTCTAAGGAGAAGAATAAGTGTTTGGCCTGAATTCTGATGCAACGTATGTATACACTCAGAAGAAAATTACAAGTATTACCTAATGTGTAATCTGGGCAACCAGATGGTCATAGCTGGTAGAAGGAGAAAAATATGGCATCCATTAATGAACAAATATCAAACCTGATAACAATGGAGTTACACCTGAACTTCTATAAAAATAACTGTGCTTCATCTTGTTGGCACATTCATGGTGGAGAAATGTATTACAGGACTAATCTGAAATTCCAACATGCTGTAAACATCAAGGTGCCTCAGTACATCTTCTTTGAAATCCTTTAGTCTCCCTTCCTCAGTGTCAGCTAATTCTGCAGAAGTCAAGCTCTTCCTCCTTGCTGCATATCCTACGACTTGTCTGTATCCTTTATCATCCTTTTGTTCTATTCCTCTCACTAAACCCCTTTTCAGATTTGGAAATTCTTTAAGTCTCCAAAGTAATGCAAGTGGGTGGCTTGAGGAAAGATATAAGAAAGTACAGTGCTTGTTAAAACAGGGAGAAAGGCTCAAATATTTATTAAATAACTGAGCATATTTCCTAATAGCAAAAACTGCTGAGCAGATTGTGTCATGACTCTTCTTTGTCACCCTGCATTACATATCCTGCATTGCACAAGGAATAGGACTGGATAGGACTGGATGATCTTTGAGAACCCTTCCATTTTTTAAATATTAGGAAAAAAAAAACCTCTGAAATTCTCCATCATTTTTATGAAATTAAGAAAGTTTACAATTTGGAGTGGAAGGAGAAACAGGGAACAATGGCAAGAAAAATTTGTATATGTTTAAATAAAAATATAGAAATGACCTAACATCATATTAAAATGCATTGTTCTAGTCATACTTTACTCTGTATGAATGCCCTGCTTCATTTATTGATTGTTGTAATTTGCTACAGTCATAACTGTATGTCATTCCTACATGGATCTGTGGCTATGCTTCACTTTGAATGAAAAAATATGTGTGCCTTGCTTTAAATTTGTCAATCAAAACCTGTCCTATCACCTGATGAAAAGCACATAAATCTTTTACATTAAAAAAAAGAATATTGCTTGAGTCCATGGGAAACTGAAGTAGGCATCAAAACTAAACAAAAAGGTTTATTAAAAACAGAGATGATTAACAAATGTTGGTTTTCAAATTTTTCTATTATGATACCCTAGGGCAGGGGTAGGCAACCTTGGCTCTTTTATGACTCGTGAACTTCAACTCCCAGAATTCCTGAGCCAGCATGGCCCTAGGGCAGGAGTGTCAAACTGCTGGCCCACGGGCCGGTTTCATCATACCGGAGCCGCGCCCACCCCATTGCCGGCAATGGCGAAAAAGCTCCAATACGTTGCGTGACGTCACATGACGTCGCGAGTTTGACATGTCTGCCCTAGGGTATACATTTTGTACATCTACTCATGGAAGATTAATTCCTTTTCTCATTGCAAGTTATAATTCTTCATATTTGTGCATATGTGAAGCACAAAGAGTATTTTAAAAGAGGCATGGCTCACTATGTACGCTGAGCTCGTTTTCAGCTCTTATTTAGGATAAAGAAGTCAATTTTAGTTTCATCTCTAATCTAGCAATATTTTAAGTAATGGAATCACATTAAATCAAGTACACATTAAGATGATTGCATTTTTGAATATTTTCCCCCCAAATTTTTCCTGGTAGTTCAGATTATTTCTATATCTAATTTCACATACTGACTGGCCTCTAGTCTCAGATGGAGGCATTTCCTATTACCTGCTATTTGATCTTTTTAACTGAAGGAGCTAGGAACTGTAGCTGAGACTTTGTCCATGAATGTCTGCTTTACTATTCAGTTATGATCTTTTCACCAGTATTTGATTCTTCCTTCATATAAAATTATGTTAATTCAAAAAATAAATAATGAAAGTTTCTGTAAATCCTCAATTAGTTCTTCATGTTCATTTATTTATGGCTTCATTCTCTCTCTTATAGAGTGTGAGTAAAATATAAACTGAACATAAATGTATTTCTATCCTCAGAAGACACTTTGGATTCTCAGTGTTGACTGTGAGATTGTTTGTCATGTTTGTTAGTTCAGTTTGCACAGACCTGGAAATCAAACTTAAAACTGTTTATAGCAGGAAGCAAAGCTATGTGGAAATACGCCTGAAGCTATTAGAATTAAGTAGTGTGTGAGCCTTTTTATGGCCCTGAGAAATTGGCATAGTATGTATGCAGCTGACCTGTTTGTTAATGATACTGTATGTCCTTGTATGTATCCTCCTTCCCATATTAATTAGTGGTGAAATGGTAATCAAATATAGATACCAGGCACGGACCTCCCCAATATCTTCACTGGCACCCAAATATAGTTATACATTGCAAAGGCAGTCCATGATCTCCCTGCCAATGTTTCAGAGAGGTTTAATGAAGACTTTTTTTTCATATCTTACAACTGGAAACACAAACCCTAAGAACATCGGCACGCAGACGTTACAAAGCATTGAATTGCATTTTGTGATCAGAATGGCAAACTGAGGATTTGAGAGGAAATGGTTGGGCCTTATCATTGACCTAGGACAGTGTTTCCCAAACTTGACAATTTTAAGGCATATGGACTTCAACTCCCAGAATTCCACCGCCAGCAACGCCTTAAAATTGTCAAGTTTGGGAAACACTGACCTAGGACTTTTTGAAGGTGGGCGATGCTTCACAAATCCTATTGAGAGATCCTGAATGGATTGTTCCATTTGTCCCAGTCTCAATACAGGGACTGCTGGCAAGCATGCTTTCCTTATCTTCTTCCAAAGTGGTGTTTTCCAACTCACACTCGCATTACTTGCTGCTCTTTAATTTATTCTAAGCAACTTTTTGTAAATCTACTGGTTGCTGTATGGAACTGTCAGCCTCTTCCGTCCTTTTTTGTTACTGTTTGCTGCCCTCCAAGCCTCTTTGGGCAAGAAGAGGAACGTGCCTATATGAGCCCTGATTTCTATATGCTTGGTAAGCCAGGCTTCAAGCATTACACACACTCTTCTGTATCTCCAATAACCATCAGTTCTTTGTTCCTATCTACATATTCAGCAATTAGAGCATGAACCATAGCTGGTCACAGAGAACAAATGAAGAGTGACTGTCTATGGAGATTCTTAATGATCCAGGTCATGGTTGTCCCAAAGGTGCTTTTTCAAAAAGCAACTAGACTTTCTTTGTTTTTTCCTTGAAGATGTTTCGCTTCTCATCCAAAAAGCTTCTTCAGTTGCGACTGAATGGTGGAGAATGGAAGGAATTATATTCGTTGCAATCATCTGGTAGTTAGCACTCTCTCTGAGAGTTGTTGATGCCACTTGGAGGTTTATGTGTGCCCCAAGGGTCATCTGAATAGTGCAAATGAATGTGGAACTTTCTTGGAACTGCTGAAAGGACAGTGTTGTAAACAGTGGACTGGTGGACTGATGAAACGTTGGCCCATTTATTTATTTTATTTGTAGAATTTATTGCCCCCCCCCCATCTTACCTAATGGTAAATCTATTTTAAAAAACCGAAACAAAAGAAATCCAGCTTGGTTTCCCCAACATGTTGGGAGAGTAAAGAATCACAGAAGCTGGCCAGTTACTAAGGAGCATTAACTACTCTTCAGATAGAATACCTGCCTAGCATTGTTATCAAAGCTGAAAATTAAATCTTAACAGACATTGTCTTAAACCAGCTTTATTTCCAGTCATTTCTGCTCAGGAGAACAAGCAGCTCAAGGCCGTTGTGCAGAAAAGCTTGACGGCAAAGAAGAGGAAATACATCACCACCTCAGCAGATGGAAAAGAAAGAAAATCATGGCATCTCTTTGAAACATGATGGGACCTTGCTGGCAACAAATCATTCTTTCCAGCTGCAATAGACAAGTTATGGCAGAACTAAGATCAGCAGTATTCAGTTAATAGCTTTGCAGAATTAAATATTGATATTGTCTTAGCAGCTTATTTGTTCCATATGGTTAAGAGAGAATACGAAAGAGATGAAGAAATATAAGGGCATCACTAATGAGGAGAGGGATGTTTAAGAGCAATATATCTTCCAGAAGAATTAGCACTCTCTCTGAGAGTTGTTGACGCCACTTGGAGATTTATGTGTGCCCTAAGGGTCATCTGAATAGTGCAAATGAATGTGGAACTTTCTTGGAACTGCTGAAAGGACAGTGTTGTAAACAGTGGACTGGTGGACTGATGAAATGTTGGCATGGATCTCTGTGTTACACAAACAGTCCTGTTTCAAAAAAATAAAAGTACCATCACTGTAATCTTTTAGAGCAATGTGTCCATTTGAAAATAATTATAAATAATCCTCTAAAATCTGATATTGAGAGAGTTAGAAAGACTTCAGCACTAGGGTCCTACCTCCAATAAAGCAATAGAAGTATCGTACAACACTAATGAGAACTGCAGAAGCACAAATCTCATGTTCAATAGAATAACTGCAAAATGGGCATAAATTGTTTTTTGAAATCAGTATTTCAAAACCAAGTGTTTGCAGTTTTTCCAAGAATATGATGGAGCTAATAAAAATACTTGTTCAGTGTTATAGGCCAGCTGCTTTTTTTCCCCTCACAGTTATATTTCTGTAAAATGGAGAAAGGGCTCCAAACTAACTGCATCTCCTCCAGAACACAACTATTGTTACCATGCTCAAACTCATTTGTTTAGTGACGTATCAAGGTTGTCTGTCAGGGCCTGTACTGTTCTGGTAAAAACTGATGTGATCCTAAACTGCTGTTCTAGTGAGATATTACCTTATCTTATCTTTTGATCATTTCAACAAAGTTAATCTTGAAGAATGATTTACCGTGGAAAACAAGAGTCTATTTAAAATATATTGGAGTAGTTCCAGTCATTTCTATTAAAAGGTTGTTGTTCACCCACTAAGTCGTATCCGACTCTTTGTGATCCCATGGACCACAGCATGCCAGGCTCTTCTGTCCTCTCCTTTCTCCCAGATTTTGCCCAAATTCATGTTCATTATGTTGATGACACCATTTAACCATCCCATCTTCTGCCATCCTCTTCTCCTTTTGCCTTCAATCTTTCTCAACATCAGGGTCTTTTGTAATGGATTCTCTCTTCTCATTTGGTGACCAAAGTATTTGAGCTTCAGCTTCAGTATCTGTCCTTCCAAAGAACAGTCAGGGTTGATTTCTTTTAGTATCTATTAAAAGGAACCATCCTAATTCCTGCAAGAGAAAGAATAATGAAAAATAACATGCTAGTATCTTTAAAACTCTTTTTTTAACATTAGATCACTAATGACCATCTGACAGATGTTTCTTCTTTCATATAATCCTAATTGCATGTCAGTGCAGCTAGTTACAACTGCAGAAGTGAGGCACAAGTTCAAAGGTTGCTAAAACACATATACCTAGTTTCTCTTCAATCTGAATGCAATCTCCCCCAACAGTTGCTCCAGATTAATTATCCATCATAAACTACTAATCTATCATTTAATCAGCAAAGTAATCCTTTGCATGCCTGTAGCACTTTTCATCCAAATCACATCACAAACAGAATTAATTAATGAAATTCCTAATGTACATAGATACAATCTATGTTACAGAGATGATTACGTGGAGGAATCAGGATTCCCTGGAACTTAAAAAGGCAATTGAAAGGGAATAATTCTAAATCTCTTGGGGCAATTGAAGATACGTGTCCCAAGCATGCTTTTTTAAGGCAATAATATGGAGAAAACTAAAAAACTTTCATAAAAATGAAACATTTATTGCAATATAATCACATTCCCATCACTCAAATTACAATCTTTCTATGTGGTAAAATGTCTTTTTCATCAGAGGCTGATTCAGAATTTAATTTTTAATTGAAAGTGCCAGAAAAATGAATGCCAGATTAATGGGTGATGTGAATTGTTCAGATGTCTTTTTACCCACTAATAAACCTGTACAGATCATGCCAGATTGGAACAAACTAGGAAATCTGCTAGCACATACAATACTAGCCTGTAATGACAAGTCTTGAGTGAATTTCCAAACAGCTACAGGTGCATAGTTGCAAAATAACTTAGAGATTACTGTTGTGGCATACAAGTATTAGATTACATGGTTTTCAAGTTTTTCCCAGCTCTGAATTTTATGCCAGGATGTTGTATGATGTTTACTATAAATGTTTATAAATATTAATTTAAAAAACCTTCAATTAACAGAATATCACCTTGTTCCAATTTTTCCCCAAGTTCTGCAACAGGAAAAATGGGAAAATCACTTACCCAATGAAGAATCTGAAGCTATTTTTTTTAGCCAGATAACATGTTTTATATTATAAATTATTGCATATTTCTAGTTTGCAAACCTTTGTGTTTAAAAGTCTATCTATTTCCTTGACCAGTTTTCTTTGTCTTTTCAGGAACATGTTTCCTGCAAACCTTGTGGAAGCCACTTTTAAACAGGTAGGAATCTGGCTCTAACTTTCAACCCTAAAAAATATTTCTTTCCAATTCATAAGAAAAAAAATAGATAAGCCATATACAATTCATCAGATAAGCCACAATAACCTCTAAAATCACCACTACAGTACATGTATTATTTAGTTTAATAAAGGTGTTGAGTAAGAATTGGGGACAGGGGACTCTTCCTAATAGCCACAAATATTAAAAATTCTCCCTGGAGAAAGCAATTACGGGAAGAGTTAGCAGTGAAATGAAACCAGGCCACCAAAGAACAAAGTGGCTGGACATCATCAAAGCAGACCACAGCCAGAGCATAGCAAAACTCAAAGAAGCAGTGGGAGATTGGAAGACGTGGAGAGACCTGGCCCACAGAATCGCCAAGAGTTGGACATGACTAATGGATGTCGTTGTCATTATCATCATCATCATCATCATCATCATCATCATCATCATCATCAATTCATTATTACTCTTAACAGCAAATGTTACCTACTATGAGATCTAGCAGAAGGGGGAAATACCTCCAGTAAAATTCTCAACTGTTCAAAGTCCCATAAGTGAAATACGGACTTGATTTTGTTTAAAAAAATATGCAGGTTAGGTAGCTTGGAGCTTTCCAAATAGTGAGAATGACAACTTGTATAGTCACTTCTCATGATGAGAATGAAAATATAAAAATGTGGGGAATGCCAAGTTGTTTATATATTAGGCATAAACTTTGCATGCAGAATGTATAGGTGTAGTATATCAGTTGTAGTATATCCAGTTGCTGTCAGGAAGATCTCATCTACAACCCTTAAAAGCTATTCCTGAGTAGTGCATAAAGCAGATTTTCTCCAACCTGGTGTTTCTCAAAGAGAGGATGCAATTTAAGGTATCTGGAAGAATTTAGTTGGAGAAAAATGATGGTAATTAGTGTTGCCCCAACTTTCTCTCCTCTAGATATATTATCAATGCAAACCCCAATGCATTGCCAGATCTTAGTCCCATATAATGTTAATAGTAGTGATAGGAACATAAGAGTTTACTTATTATGAGCCACAAACTCTTATGTTCCTATCACTATTATTAACATTATATGGGTCTAAAATCTGGCAGCAAATAGATTTGTGTAACTTTTAAAAGCAGTTCAGAAGCCATGCATGGCAGCCTATCAGACTTCAAAAAAACCAACCTTATCTATTAATAAATTGATTCACCAATCAATGAATCATCTATTTACTCTTCCATCTTGATATAAAAGTACCCTCTGAATTGTTTGTTCTGGTGTAGAGAACAAATTGATAGACAGAGCTCACAAATCCCCCCCCCCCTTGGAAAAAGTCAGTATTTTCTTAATCTTTGCAATAATAAATGGCAAAGATTTCCAAGCCAAAATATAGGTATCTTCCAGATGGAGGACATGTAATAACTGTTAAAGCCATTAATACATAAATTCCATTTCCTCCAGCTTCTCTGAAAAGAGACATGACAGGAAAGTGACAAGAAAAGACAGGTGGGTTTCTACATAAAACATTGCCCTGTTGGGAGATACGATTTATGCAGAAGTACAAATTGGAGATGGGATTCTAACTTTGTTCCCATAAACAGAGCACAATGAAGTTTTCTGCCTATTCTGTCTCTCTTTAGACTTCATTCTCTCATAAAAATCTATTTTTGAGGTTGGAGATCCATGAAATGTTTTTGGATAAGATGTGAGGAGCGACAGTATTATTATTGTGTTGCATTCATTTACCAACTTTGAAATTTGGGTATTTAAAAATATCTAACTTTATACAAATGTTTTGAATTTTGTTGGATATAAATGTTTTTCTGCAATTGGATATAGATGTTTTTCTACAATTGCATGGGTTGGAATGTTGTTTTACAATTGTATTGTTTGCTTCATTCAAGATTTGCAAATATTAAAATAATTTTAAATTTCAAATGATAAGAGCAATGTTTCACAGTCTCGGGAACTTTAAGATGTGTGGACTTCAACTCCCAGAATTCCCCTGCTGTCTGGAGAATTCTGGAAATTGAAATCCACATATTTTAAAGTTGCCAAGAATGAGAAATACTGCAATGACTATCCCTCTGCACATAACCCAGATGATCTGTGCTCTTTCAGTATCGAACCAAAAGCATTCCAATTGTCAAAGTGAGCAAAGCACCATCTGAAAGTATTACTCGCCGAATTATAATCTACGGTGTGCAAGATGAAAATGGATCCAACATCCAGAATTTTGCTTTGGATATTACACCACCACCAGAAGTGATTTATAAGTCAGAGCCAGGCACTAGTGAAGGCATGAATGTGTTGGGAATTGTAATATTCTCTGCTACCATGGGTAAGTTTTAATAGCATGTCAGATAACGTTACTGCATGAAATGGACTAATCATGTGCTATCTAATGCCTTGCAGACAAGTTGAGCATCAACTTTATATATTATTTCAGTTATTTATGCTTACTGTATTTCATGAACTGAAGTGAAGGACATTTAGAAGATGCCCCATTGAAACAGAATACTAGAGAGAAATTAATTGCTTTTTATAGAATTCCTCATGTTTTAGCTTGGAAAGCATATTTCACAATTCTGAATATAATTTAAGGACTGTGGCTATATTTCTAGTTGTATTTAAAAAATGTTAATACTATAAGGCACCATTTTTTTTCCTTTTCCAAAGCTGGAATTTTTGTTTTCTTAAATTGTGTTTTTGCTTCTTTTACGTCTGTCTGTAATTCCTAGAGTTGTTCTGAGAAACTTAAATGAAAAGGAGCAAAGCATGTTTGTGGTTGGGGTATTATTTTCAATAGTATAGTTAACACAATGGATGAAAGTGTGCAGTACTAAACAGAAAATGTGGCTATTTGCCTTCATTTGCTGATATACAGTATCTTCAGCTAAGACTACAGGTGGTCCTTGACTTATGACTAATTGCTTAGTGACTATTTGAAGCTATAGCTAACTCAAACAAGGCGACTTACAATTCGGATTTGAAGCTCCCATGGTTGACCCCTCTGGGGTCATGTGACTGAACTTAGGGCGCTCAGAAATATGAATGCATTTATGGCCTAGTGCAGGTCGTGACTGTCTTTGATGACAGTTTTGCCTAAAACTGGCATTTCTGATTTTCAACAAAATCACACCTGTAGTGAACCATTGGCTTACTTAACAACCGTCACGTTTGGTTTATGACTGCCACATTTGCTTAACAACTGCTGCAAAAAAGATCATAAAATTGGGGCTCAGTGATCTGACTTTTACAATGCACAACTCTAATGGCTACCTCTCTGCAAACAACAAGCCATTTGGTTCTTCAATTCTTAGCCTTATTGTTTGGAGGTACCTATGAAGAACTGAAATATTTATGTAAATTGCAAAGTGTGGCAGGTTAGATAACACTCCTAACAGACATGAAAAAAAAATGGGGGACATTGTCTTGGAGTTGCCCCATTCGGTGAGTGGGTCCTGCAGAAGGGCAACAACTATGACAAAAGAAATATATAGTCTTGATAGGGAATTGCCAAGGACAGGGGTAGGCAGCCTTGGTTCTTTTATGACTTGTGGACTTCAACTCCCAGAATTCCTGAGCCAGCCATGCTGGCTCAGGAATTCTGGGAGTTGAAGTCTACGAGTCATAAAAGAGCCAAGGTTGCCTACCTCTGGCCAAGGAAGAAGTGTAAGTCAATTTGGTATAGTGGTAAGGCATCATGCTAGAAACTGGGAGACTGTGAGTTCTAGTTCTGCCTTATCCACAAAGCTGCCTGGGTGGGCCAGTCACTTTCTCTCACCCCTAGAAAGGACAAACTACTTCTTAAAAGGCTGCTGAGAAAACTGCAGGTGCCAGGAGTCAAATTGGCTTGGAGGCATGCACATTAAAAGAAATATAACATGTAGTCAGTAAATTCATCATGGTTTTCTTTCCCTGGAACTTGTTTGTCAGGGACTACTTCCATTTAATCCCATTCCACTAATTCTAAATTTTAGAGATTTTTTTAAATTTTAGAGTTCACATTAAAGGGGAGGACAGATCTCCTTGCCTTTTGTATAACCAGAGGAGGGGGGGCAAAGGGAACAACTGTGGACTTTAATTAGGCACTTCTGTAATTTAACCACTGTGAGTCTAACGTTTTTGCCAGTTTTTGAATATTGACATGAAACTGAAACATCTTTTTCCAGTCTTCTTTAAACAGAATTATATTGAATGACTCTGGGAGAATCAGTCCAGCAGTTTTTAAAATGACCTCTAGAGAGCAGCCAAATATTTGATTAGCTTAGCACCATTTATAACCAGTTTGGATTGTTTTTAGTTTGAAAGACAGGGATTTTATTCAAAATCAAGACTTAGCTAGAATGATCAAATGGGAGTGAGCCACTTCTTCTAAACAGGGACATCTCAAGGTATTTAATTATACATTAGAATATTTTGAGTGATCATGTAGCAGTTCTGTCTGCAGAGATGTCACTTTAGCCTTTTCAGCTAGTGATCCGTTGAGATTCCAGACAGCTGCTCCATTTCTATGATGTGAATCGATATATTCAATCTAATCTGTGCCTTTTAGCACTTCTAGCAAGATGCCTGAAGACAGGACAAAGATTTTCAAGGGATATTTAAAGTGAATAAATAGGCTTAGCAGAGCTTTTGTACAGTTTGTCCTCATTTAGTAACCACAATTGGGACCAATGACTCAGTTTTTAAGCAAAGCATTCCCTAAGTGAAACACCATGTGCTTATGATTTTAGTTCGATTTCTTTTGTTTTACACACCAGCAAAAGTTGTAAATGCAAGGATTGCTTGTAAATTTATTTTTTCATCACTATCGCAACTGTTAACGGTTGCTAAGCGAGGCAGTCACTAAATGACAACTGCCTGTATTTAATGAACAAAGTGGTTCAGGGTTCTTTTACATCTGTCATTTTTAAGAGGTCTAGCATTGTAGCACCACTCCATACTGTTGAAAGAACCTGTCTTCTTTTTAGATGTGGTAGCTATGAGGTGCTTTCCCCCTCCCCTTCCCCTCTAAACCTCTATTCCCTAAGAAAACATTCTTGACAGGAAGAGAGTCAAAAGGTCATGTCAGTGAAATTTAACTCATGCAGGTTTCAATGTTTTACACAGTTATTTTATAGCCCAGCAAAATTTATGTAAGAACCTTATAGGCTCATCTTAGTCCAACATTCTGTTCCTTATAGTGACCAACAAGGTTACTCTGGAATTCTGGCAAGACATAGCCCTCTTCCATCTTGTTTCCCTGAAACGAGGTGGCGCAGCAGTTAGAGTGCAGTACTGCAGGCCACTTTAGCTGACTGTGTTCAGCAGGTCAGCGGTTCAAATCTCACTGGCTCAAGGTTGACTCAGCCTTCCATCCTTCCGGGGTAGGTAAAATGAGGACCCAGATTGTTGGGGGCAATGTAAATATATATATATATACATTGCTTACTGGTGTACACCGCTTAGAGAGTGCTTGCACTTAAAGCGGTATATAAGTCTCATAAATAAATAAATAAATAAATTGTACTTGGAAGAAAACTTCCCCCAGCCCAGAGATAACTGTGGCTTTTCAAGGGCAATAACTTTGATTGGTCTCTATGAGACTAGTTTTCATTGCTAGGATCCACCTTCCACAATATACCTTTTGCCAAATTTGTCTCAAGTACCCATGAATTAGAGTGATGCAGCAAATGGTGAGGTGCCTAGTAGGCTTCGTTGTGAAGTGGTTGGTCACTGGGAGAACAGGCTGCTGGATTAGAAATCTGATCTAGCAGGGATCAATGCTCACAGTTATGACACGTAATGATGGAGCTTGTATTGTTCATAATATGTAATCCTTAGCATACCTTACTTAGAAATGTGACTCATTACCAGCCATTCAACTCATCTGGTAATTCAAATTTCAGATAAATTTCCAGCTTGCAATGGAGATCTTTTCTCAAGGCTAAGCCAAAGTGCTCTCTTTTCACCCTTGAGCAAGTAACAAATAAACTAGAATGGAATTTAATGTCTCCATTGCCAATCCCTTATTTGCCCATATCTCTGTTCTCAGTCACTAATTTCTTTCCCTAGTAACAAATATTAATTGATTTTGTACTCAAGGCTGCTCTTAAATGGTATCAGAATAGGAGTAATGTTACTTCAACACAAATATAGCCAAGCCAAGATTCATTTTAAGCCTGTCTCATTCGTGGGCAAGAGGTGAGATAAATAGATTGTGGGAATAGAGCAGGGAAAAAAAAATTTGCTAGGGCATGTTTTTATCATGGTTATGTACAAGTGAGGAAAGGCTCAAACTATATTATATAAGTTTAGATGAAAATAAACAAGAAAAAACTAAGACATTTATGTATTTTATAGGTATAATGCTGGGCAGAATGGGTACCAGTGGAGTTCCCTTGGTCAGTTTTTGCCAGTGTTTAAACGAATCAGTCATGAAGATAGTGGCTGTGACTGTATGGTAAGTAAATGTCAGAAGAAATAAATATTAACAAGTAAAAGTATGTAATCAGCAATGAAATCAGCTTACATAAACTGGGTTGATGAGTAATCTAAATAACATGTAGAAGGTTGCATGCGTTCTCCTTTTAAAATATATATTTGTAAACATTAGCTTGCAGGATGTTTTCAGGCAAAAATCAAATTCCACATGAATATTGTCTGGATATTTCTTGTACCCCACTGCATGAGATTGCAATAGGCTGTGGTTCTGTCTACACTAAGAGCAACACTCTCTGCATCCAAGAAAGAAATAGAAACTAGGGTTCCTTAGTGTAGTGTTTCAAAACTATTTCTTCCTAACCAATCTACAAGGGGTGAGTTCCTACCACAAGGACATACAGTACACACCTATAGCACTTCTGACAAAAGGGAGATTCATCTGCATGGCTGGAGAGGCCAAATTGTGTTGCAAAAGTATTTTGCAGAATAATACCTGTTTTGTCTTGCAGTGATATCTGTGGTACTTCAAGGATGCATTTATTTATTGCATTTCTATTTCTTGTTCCATTTGAGAGCTGGGGTAATGTACAGGGAATTCTCTATATTTTTATCCTTATAATAACAATTCTGTAGGGAAGATTGGGCCGAGGGAATAGACCTGGGTAGAGTCATTCAGCAACCACTTTGGTCAGATGGAGATTTGAGCCTAGGTCTCTATAATCCAGCTGCAATACTTTCACCAAAATTATTGCATTTTGCCATGTTTCCATTCGGGTTTTTTTTTCTTTCTATCTATTTTTGTATGGATATATTCTTTGCATAGGATATCTCTTTATTCTTTCTTAGGTATTTTCCATTTGGAATAGTATTTCTTATTGCTGGTAAGATTTTGGAAATGGATGATCCCTCAGCCATCGGGAAGAAACTAGGTTTTTATGCTGTCACTGTACTTTGTGGACTAGTTGTTCATGGACTTGTTATTCTGCCAATGATGTATTTCTTCATCACCAAGAAGAACCCCATTGTCTTTATCAGAGGCATTCTTCAAGCACTGCTTATTGCCTTGGCCACATCATCCAGGTACATGATGCAATGATTAAAGTTGTGAAGCAATGCTCTTTTAATTTACAAGAAAAAAAGATGCTTCTCTCAAGTCATGTTTCAATTCTAGGGATATCATGGTCACACGTATGCAATTTTCTTAGCATTAATATGGCAGTAATTTGCCACTGCATTGTTACAATGGGTTGTTTCAATTCCTGGTCTAGCCAATAGCCCTACAATTTGTTGGGGGCTACTGATCCCGGCCCAACATTACTTGTTCATGATTAGCAAAGATCAGTTAGGTGCTGCCAGTTGTTGGTGCAAATTTTTAAAAATCCATTATCATAGCAAACTTGGAATACTTTTTTTTCTGGATTTAATCCTTCCAATTTGTATCCCTTAGACAAGTGGTCCCCAACCTTTCCAGCTTGGCGGACCAGCGGGGGGGAGAGAGGGGATGATTCTGTATGAGCGGCAGCTGCGCATATGTGCACATGCGCAGCTCCATTTGTGCAAGCAGTGGGCATGCACATTCACCATTCATGCAAATGGAGCTGCCTATGCATGCACCATTCATGCAAGTGGAGTTGCGCGTGTGCTTGCCTGCCACTTGCATGACCCTGGTACCAGGCCGCAGCCCGGGGGGTTGGGGGCGCCTGCTTTAGACCTAATCCCAAAGCTCCTAAATTCTATCATTTCCACCCTATGATACTAAATTCTGTTTATACTGTATTTTTATATGGTAAAATGTGAGATAATATATAGCCTGTAATAAAGAATCCAGCTGGCCCAGAAAAAAATTGGGAGACAGATGAGTCACTGCAAAATTACTGCAGGAAAAGTAGAAAAATGCTACCAAATACTACATACCCCTAATATTCAGCAATATTCCAAAATCTCATCATTTGCTGTTTGACATTGATCTGCAAGTTAAGTACTTTCCAGATAAAATTATTTTGTATCTATTCTTATTTGGGTTTTACACTGCATGAAACAAGCTGATTTTTCAGACTTAGAAATGTAGTTGATGCCACCAAGAGACATAATTATTTTGATAGGATCTTCTACTATATAAGTGCTTAATCCTACCACACAGTATTTCAGAATGACTCACTTGACAAGTCCATTATCTAGTTCCATTTCACTGTGGGTTGCAAATCAAATTAGGTGCCTTGATGATATTTTGAGAAAAATGCATATGGAGAAAGTTGGAGAAAGCCCATCTTTTTGGCACTCTTAATGGATTAGTATGCAAATTTTGATGAGCCAAAGATACCATCGTCTATTGAACTCAATTTCAGATCCTGTATTGACATCAGAGAGAGGCCACTTATATTTTGAAAAATGGATGAGAACTAGAAACCAAAATGAAATCTTTCTTATATGCACATTTATAATTATTCCCATTCCCTCGCATTTTATTTGATACGGTGGTGGGGGGAGGGAGATCCAAAACACGTTATATACTTATACAAATATAATTTTCAGGTATTGGGACAAAGCAATAGAACAAAACAAAGAGATAGGATTAATGTTGGGAGGATAGTTCATTAGTGACAAGAACCTCTGGAAAATATAATTAGACATTTCCAACATTCTGATTGCAATAGTGGCGAATATCTGTGGTTTGGGTGTAGGATGAAGGTGAAGGTTCGTTCTCCGAGTTTGTGGGTTGGCTTCCAAACATTTCATTACTAGGCTAGGTAACAGCTTCAGCTGAGTTTAGTGGATGTCAATGTCAGTGTTCTTCTGTTTATAAGAGCTTTACCCTCACCTGAAGCCCTTATAAGCAGAAGACCACTGACACAGACATTCCCTAAATGCCACTGAAGATGTTATCTAGCCTGGTAACGAAATGTTTGGAAACCAACCCATATGCTCGGGGAACGAACCTTTGCCCTCATAATATAATTCCTTTTTTTCATAGCTTTATTATTATCAGCTAAGATACTGAATGAATCAGGACATTTATGTATTAGTTTTTGCCCAATAACACAGCGCAAATAACTTAATTTTGCCTTAAATTTACTTGTGTAAGCAATTTTCTAAACTACATTATTCTACTAACTTCTGTCAAAACCAGGGGTCTCCAACCTTGGCAACTTTAAGATTTGTGGACTTCAACTCCCAGAATTCCTCAGCCAGCAAAGCTGGCTGGGGACTTCTGAGAGTTGAAGTCCACAAGTCTTAAAGTTGCCAAGGTTGAGGACCCCTGGTCTAAATTACCCCCTCCCCCCCCTTTTTTTTCCTTTTTGCAGTTCAGCCACTTTGCCTATAACTTTCAAGTGCTTATTAGAGAATAATCATGTGGACCGGAGGGTTGCTAGGTTTGTGCTCCCAGTAGGGGCTACAATCAACATGGATGGAACAGCTCTGTATGAAGCAGTTGCAGCTATTTTCATTGCCCAAGTAAACAACTATGAACTGGATTTTGGACAGATCATCACCATAAGGTAAAATGGGAGGGGGCAGGGTCTCTGATTCATAGGCTTCTGCAGGAAAAACAATGTCCTCGACTTCGGTGTCTGATGGCAGCGTCCAGCACAGCAGATAATAAGCTAAAGTTGTATGAAATTATTTTCGGTACTAATAAAATGTATAATATATATAGTAATAGTAATAGTAATAGTAGTAAAGTTGGAAGGGACCTTGGAGGTCATCTAGTCCAACCCCCTGCTCGGGCAGGAAACCCTACACCATTTCGGACAAATGGCTGTCCAGTCTCTTCTTAAAAACTTCCAGTGTTGGAGCATTTACTGCTTCTGGAGGCAAGCTGTTCCACTGATTAATTGTTCTCACTGTCAGGAAGTTTCTCCTTAGTTCTAGGTTGCTTCTCTCCTTGATGAGTTTCCACCCGTTGCTTCTTGTCCTGCCTTCAGGTGCTTTGGAAAATAGCTTAATTAACAGTGCATCATGGTCTTATGCTTGCTGATTAAAAATATGTCAGCAGTTCCTGGAGAAAGGAAATGGCCAGTCACCAAATGCATTGAGTGCACTTTACCTGCTATGGAGATGTGCATGCTTTGGTGGTTGCTAGGCATTTCTCTGCCTGACCATGTCAGCAATGACACAGTTTGGAAGCAAATGGGCATCATGACAACATCAGAGAAAATGCAGGAAAAACATTTACAGCCATGTTCTACAAGCAACCCCCCATGCTGTCGCCAACATCACCTCTCCATTTTAATGTAGACAGCAAGCACTGACATGGAAGGCTGAAGGCAGACCTGAAAAATGTCCAGTTGGACACAGATGCTGTGTTTGGTCCTGCAAGATAGCACTCATTGACCAAAAATCAGACCCTGGTGGAAATACTCTACAGTGATGATGATGATGATGATGATAGTGTGCAGTTCCTGAAGAAAATAAATCCCTTCACTTCCATTCCACCTCACACAAAAAAGAAATAATGAAAATCTCCAACACTCATCCATTCACAAGGCGGTTATCCAACATACCTACTTGATGTGTTGTCTGCACTCTAAGGAATTAGACAGAGCTCTCTGGTTGCATTTGAAAGTAGAATCAGAAGAGTGATGCACTCTTTTCTGACTGTATGTAAAACAAATGTGAATCCCCTTTTCCTTAATCTGTAAACAGAAGTCTACAACAGTTGAATATTACTTCAGGCAATAATTCTTCCCAGTGGAAGACATTTTGTCTTGAATCTCTGCTGCATTTCCCCATCACAAATGGGAAGGCTTTTTTTATTGATCATTTGCGTACAATAGGAACCCGATACTCCAAAACTGATTCTGGAGCTTTACGAGAACTCCATATAAATGATTCTTTTCTTTTAAGTGGTGCTCCTTCCTTTAAATAAAACTTGCTTCTCCAGCTGAAGAGAAAGTTGTCAGCAAGACTGATAAGGAATTTCCTGGAAATACATTTTTGGAAGAGTTGTTCTCTCAACAGATGTCAGAGAAATTAAAGCCTCCAAGCACTGCAATTTCACTGCTTTTTAAAGATCTGTAGTTTTATTGTGGAAAACATATCCACAGCTTCTCTTCAATTGTTTAAATATTAGTGGATTGTACTAGTTTATTGAGCTGCCTACTTATTTTACCAAAGGATTTTAAGGATGCCACCTTATTCATTCCTTTGGATTTCTATCCAGATGAGGATATTGTAACATATAATTCAATCCCTTTTCCTTTTGTGCTACATCTGTTCCTTCTGAATATCTTCTATGTTTCAATTATTATAGTCCAGCTTTGAAAATCATCCCACCAAATCTCAGTTCAAACTTTGGATCTTATTTGTTTTCCTATAATGGGACCTCAAACTCATTTTGTTCATTTTTCATTCTCTGAGTATTAATATATAAATAAGGGAGGACATGAACTTTACAAATCAAATTTCTTCTTGACTTTTTATTGTACAATTTAAGAGGTGCCAAAATAATTAAAGAAGGAAACTCTATATATGTTACACAACATAGTCTTCCTTTTTTTATTACTTAGCATTTTCCAGCAATGAATCCTGGTATCATGACCAATTTTTTGAGTCAATGATGCCTATCGTTGTATTAGGCTCTGGACATTTCAGATGCTTCAGAGGTTGAACTGAGCAACTAAGGAATGTAGAATTTAAACAATCTTTTTTCTTTTCTAAATATTCTTTTAGCTTTCTCTGTTTTTGTAAATACTAAAAAAAAGAGGGGGAAGAGCAGATCCATCTGGAGAATATTTACTAGCATTATACTGCTTAGCATAAAACATTAAGCAGTTGTGATATGTACAGACTTGTCAGATTTCCATAAAGCAGTATTATCAGATCAAAACAAAACAAAACTCTTTCGCAAAATGTCTGAGTATGCAACTGCATTGTTGCTGGATCAGACATACTGTTACTTTATCCCAATCCAGCCTATTCAGCTTTATATTAATCCGTGCTTATGTAGCTATGATTTCAATTCTGCCCCATGTTGGGATTTATTGCTGGGAGCAGGGAAATTCCTGCATTAGATCAAGTGTGATGATTGCCTTGTTCTTTACTGAACAGCATATTAAAGAAGACTTGAACTACTTACGATGCACAGGTCAAATAGTTGAATACTGTACAGTCTAACAGCTTTGGTAAGTCACAATATATATTGTAGCTGGTGGCTATATCACCTTGATCACACAGAGGTTGCACTCGGGTATGACAAGAATTTAGTAAAAGATCAAGATTCAGTTCTATCTCTGCAATAGCCTTCAAAATAATAATTTCATTCATTCCAATAATTGAATTATTTCATATACAATATCTTTAAAGCCTGTTCGATCACAAAGATTTAAGAGAATTGTAATCATACTGAAGCCTGCAATCCAATCCAATGTTAAGTAACTAAAGCCCATTTATTTTAGTGGATTTAGGAGTGCTTAATTCTGCTGGATTATGGCTCATGAATATAGTTGTTTTTCCTGCCATCTACAGAGACCTATTTTTTGAACTGCCTGCTACCTCTAGAAGAGAGATACCAAATTTGACCATTTCCATAAATTTTCAGCAAACTGACAAAAAGTTGAATTTAGGCAGTCAAACTATTGTTTGGATTCACTTAAAATGGATAAATAGCAGCCAGTATGGAGAATCTTGGGACGGGAAATATATGTGGATGTATATGTGTTCATAACACCACTCCCGTCTTATAATGATCTGCATTTGAAGAGCAAGAGATAAAATTATGGTTACTATAAAATTGTAATCCATTGGTTCTATTGGAGGTGGTTTTCCTCTGTGATGCTGCATTTGGGAAAAGTTCCTGCTGATACAGAGAAAAATTCTCTCAAAAGATAAGTACTAGTTTAAGAAAGAAAGATGTGGCAGAATAAAAAACTTCTCTTCAGCTTCATGGTCCCCAAATCCCTCAGTCTATTCTACAAAACATGCATATAAACTAGTGTGATAAAATTAAAGACACATTTACTTTATCCTAATCTTACAGCGGGTGGCAGATGCCTTTAAATTTCTGCCTGTGAAATGTCAATCTTGTTGCTTTTCCTTGATTTTATTTCCCATGATCCCAAACAATGAAATAACATCCCAGGCCCGACTCTACTAGTGAGACTCTGGCTTCAAGCAATAGTTGGACTTACTCACATTGGGCAGTCCTGTGTTTTATTTACCTTGTTCAGGGATATTCTATGCAGCTGAATTCAGGGTAAAACGCATTTGATCCTGATGCCAAGTATATTAGTCCGTATTAACGATCAAGTTATCCAGATTTGGATGCTCTTCTGTGTTATATCATTATGATCTTTCTGCTTGTTTGTAAAAGCATTACGGCAACAGCTGCCAGCATAGGAGCTGCTGGAATCCCACAGGCTGGCCTTGTGACCATGGTCATTGTTTTAACATCAGTGGGGCTGCCTACAGATGACATCACTCTAATAATTGCAGTTGATTGGGCTCTGTAAGTAGCGCAAAGTTTTTCTTTTCTTTGCATTTTTCTAATGAGGTGTATAAGGATTGAGTGGGTTCAGTTTAAAGGGAACTACCACTCACTTTGATGTTGATACTGTTGTTGTTGTTGAATACATGGTCATGTCAAGGGGTAGCACAGCTCTCTCAGGGTTTTACTTTCTGTTTGTCTCAGTTTTTTATCTGCAATAAATGAAAATATAAGAATGATCCTTCCAGATTCAACCCTAAAGTTATCTTGTTCAGAGTACAGATAATTCTTGACTTGCAATTTGGTCGCTTAGTGACTGTTCAAAGCTCCAAAGACGCTCCCCAAAGATATTTGCAACCCAGTTCTGAAATTTTGATGGACAGTCTCCCCATGCATAGTCACATGACTGCCTTACAGATGCTTGGCAACTGGTCCACATTTTCAGCCATTTGCTGCATCCTGCGGTCGTATGGCCACAATTTATGATGGTTTTGTTCAAAACTGGCATTTATTTCAAATTTTTAGCAAATAGTGAGGAATGGATTAGCAACCATGGATTCGCAGAATGACCATGGTATCTAACAACTGCTGCAAAAAAGATCATAAAATCAGGGTTGGTCAAATGATAACCCTTTCCGATTCTCACAAGTTATGATTATAATGGACAGGTGAATATAGGGCATGCAAACCTTCCAGTTATTTATTATTTATTTGTTTATTTATTAAGAAAATTTTATGGCCACCCAATTCACCCATAATGAATCTGGGTCCAAAGTACTTTATCAGTCCAAAGTACTTTATTCCAAAATATTTTAAGCTTAACAAGGTGAACTTATGTATATTTAAAATGACAATTTTGGAGCTGAGGTCAGAGAACAAGTTTCTTTCCCATAATCAGTGATGAAATTGAAGTTGAAAAGAGGTTGTATATTTTATACCCTTTTAATTGAGGAGTATCCTGACTGTCCTTTGGAAGGACAGATACTGAAGCTGAAACTCAAATACTTTGGCACCAAATGAGAAAATAGAGTCTTTGGCAAAGAACCTAATGTTTGGAAAGATGGAAGGCAAAAGGAGAAGGGATGGCAGAAAATGAGATGATTATATAGTGTCATCAACGTAATCAACATGAATTTGGGCAAACTCAAGGAGACAGTAGAGGCGGTGGGGATGGAGTGCTATGGTCCACAGGGTCGCGAAGAATTGGACCTGACTTAGCAACTGAACAACAAAATTGGGGTGTGATGTTGAGATCCATACATCTGTAATGCTTTTATTTAATTTTGCATGCTTATCTTTTATCTTTTAATTGCATGAAGCTTCCCAGACTTCTTTTGAAGTTGAGTGATCTAGAAATTTAACAAACAAATAAATATTACAAAAGACAACAACCACATTGCTTTACATATAACTGAATACATGTGGAATATTGCTGGGGACCTCTGTGCCCCGAAGATCTCTTTATTTTTAATTCTCTGGGTGGACATAGTAGACTGTGATCCAGAAGGATTGCCAATGAATTATTTGCTAGTTTTGAGAGTCATGAGTCTGTATTTTTGATGCAAAAGACTAGTACAAATATCCCTCTAAAATCCCCAACATTAAGAAATTCCTAAAACAACAAGAAAAAAACAACTACCAGGAGAAATTCAAAATAAATTCTCAGGGAACCAAAGGATACAATATAAAAACAGAAGCATCCTTTATATGGGAAGCAAACTTATGAGAGATTGCAAAGCAGATTTTAGATAGATAGACAGATAACCGTCATTGTCATTTTTTTTACTGTGGGCACAATGGCACACATTAAAAATGAAATTTAGTTGCTTGCTCTCAAAGTATACACATACATAAACATACTATATACAACATATGTATAGACCTACATATAAGCAACATATAAATACTAATCCATCTTGAATACATAACAGAAGGAGGAAGCTTTAGAGTTTGCAAGGTTAATACTATATGGAACAGAACTGTGACTGAATCTGGATATTCTGCTTGGGATACCATGGAGCCTCCTCCCAGAAGGTAACAAGGAAAACAGGTTGTGAAGTGGATGTGTAGCATCCCAGATGATCCTGCGGACCCTGTTCAAGCAACGCTTATGTGCTATTTTAGCAAAGCATTCATGGGAATGGAGGGCACAAAATGTGAAAATAAACAGACTCATATGTTTATTTGCATCTACATAAGTGGCAAATAAAAGTCTTTTGTTTCAATTCAGTTTTATGCTAAAGAAACCAAACTCTGAACATTGCTGATTTTGGACCATGCTACTCTTTTCTAAGCCAAACATCTGGATGTTCTGAATTTTAGTTTTATGACCCACATCACTATAATAACCATTGTGATTGACTTCTCAGATGGGCTCATTGTACTGAAAAAAAATAAAGAAATCATATGATGCATTTCAGGTTTAATGTACCTCTGCCAAATGAACATGAGTCAATGACTAAAAGTAACTCCGGCTAATACACTAACCTTTTCCTCTAAGTTTAAATTCCTTAAATCAATTTAAAGCTGTACGTGGCAAAACTTTTTTTCAGCATTAGTCTGTGAAAATCACAAGTCAGAATAAAATTATTTTTTTCTTACAATGCAGATAGTTTTTCTTTAAAACTATCTCCATTTATTTTAAAAGTTACCAAGAGCTGACAAAACAGCAAATGCGGACACTGGAGAGAGATTAATCTAAAATGCAGTATCAGACATTCTGTTCTCTATTTGTCTTCTGACAATTTATTCCTCAGTTTTCCTACATTCTTCTATATATCCCTCAGCTATAAATGTCCAGATCTTATTGTTTTTCCAGTTGAAATCCAAATGTTTTCTAGTTTCCATTTGAACTGGCTTAACATCTCACTTGCTTGTGTCTTTAGCTTATTTTGTTTTCTTTTCTTTTTTTTTTAAAAAAAATATCCTGTGTGGTCTAGTCTACCTCCTTGTTCTTCTGTTTTCTTCTAAAAGCATATTCCAGTTTTATTTAACACTTGGTTTAAGATTGTTTGCTGCTTTATTCTTAAAATATTTATAATTTCTTTCTTTCTTTCTTTCTTTCTTTCTTTCTTTCTTTCTTTCTTTCTTTCTTTCTTTCTTTCTTCCTTTCTCTTTAAAATTGTTGCACCAGACACCCTACTTTATAATTAATTCCAGATCAATTATCTTAGGGATTCCTGGTGCCAATTATCTGACAATACTGGAAACTAGAAGCACAATGCTGGTTGGGTTTGAGGATTCTGTTTAGGGAAATGTAGCTATTGATCACAAAAAAATTTCTTTGCTCAATTGTTTCTTGTTTTGAATCATACCTAGGAAAGCAAACAGAGGGCAATATAACATCCATGAAATTTTTTCTTTCTCCAGTTGTTGTTTTGCTTAGATTTGTAAAAATGGGAAAATCAAATGGGAAATTTATGAAACAGATTAGGAAAATGTTCATGGAGTGTTTTTGATTTGATTTGGCATCATGCTTTCATACTATAAAATTAATCCATGGAATTTCAGTATTGGAGCAATTTGATTTGATGTAGAGTGATGGTCTACACATTTAAATTAATTGGATACTTTTATTCCTATACTATGTTGGTATAGTGCTATGTTATCTGTTGAGTAAAATAACATCAGCTTGTATGCAGGTACTGTTACTTTCTGTACAAATAACTGTGTAGGTTGATGAACATTTACACAACAAGGAAAAAGAAATGTTGTTTTAATGCCTTCATTTTGTTTGACAGAGACAGATTTCGGACAATGATCAATGTCCTGGGTGATGCTCTTGCTGCTGGAATAATGGCACATATTTGCAGAAAAGAATTCACCACAGACAGATCTGAGGTAGGAGAAAACTGATGTGATACTTTGAGGACTCACTTTACCAAACAAAAATAATTAGGTCTCTCTTTTAAAGACATTCTATGTAATAGTGTGTTCTACCTATGATTTTGTTGGAACAATGTGGCTCATTTGGTTAGGATGATGGTTTGGAGGTTAGCAAGCCCTCATTTGAGATATGAATGCTGCCGTAAGGTGAGTGAGTTCCCGTCCTTTGCTCCAGCTCCTGCCGGGCACATGAAAGAAGCCCCCAACTGAGCATTCCCCCAATGGTGATGTCATCAGCTAATCCTTGGTACTTTCAACATGAGTGTATGCTAAAATGAAACATGTATAGAAAAGTGTTCTAGAATAATGAAGAGTATTTATAGTATGAACCCCTTGTTCTATTCATAGGTGCCTTTGATTGGAGAAACAAAACCCATTAGTATCCACAAAATTATTGCTTATCAGAAGAATGGCTGTGTGAAGTCCATGAATAAAATGCATGGACCCGAACCAGTCAAAACAACACTGCATCACTTACCTATTCAAGTGGAACAAGAAGAGAATCACTCAGAACATTACACGGAGAAATCCAACAATGAAGACCACTGTACTATTGAAATTAATGAATTGGAAACAAATGTGTAATGGACAGTTACTCCTAAAAGTATCTGAAAACAAAAGAATATCCTGTAAATGAAGTTGGGACATGGCCTGCTTCTTCAATAGCAAGGCATGCAATGACTGTTATTCCTGAATTGAGGTTATAAGATAGTTGTGGACACCTGTGAAAAAAAGAAGGCTTCATGGAAGATGGGTTCCATTGGTTGGTTGGGTTAGTAGAAAGGAATTAATCACTGGATAAATTTTGTTTACTTTGGGCAAATAGATATGGCGATGTTTCTAAGAAGAAACCTTCTGATCCATTGAAATGATTTCTACTAAATCACCCTGACTCAGTTTTTCCAATCAAAATGAATATACCACAATTTCATTAATGTTCTACCTTTAGGTTAAAAATGTATTACTAACTAATGGATTAAGGATAAACTGTGGATGGGATCAAGTCCTGGTTACCGAGCCTGAGTTATGTGAATAAAGCATTGTTATTAATCTGCTGGTTTGGATACACTGTAATCATAAGCAGTGGTTAGTTTAAAATGGAAATGGGTCTGCTTTCCTAAAGTTGCCTAGATGAAAGTGGAGAGAACAGTGCATGTATTCAGGGGCCTTGAGAGGTCATTAAACTACCGTTTGGTGTTACATGCGACCTGGATTAAAATTGTTTAACAAATCATTCTTGTTTGCAGCTTCATTCTGCTCTATTCAATGTTCTGAGTGAATACTGTAGCAGCTTTCTGATTGAAGTCCAAAGAAATGGTTTTAATTTATAACACCCTCTATGGCTTGACACCTCAGTAATTTTGGGACTGCCTCCTTCAACCTATCTGTCTGAGAGAAACTGTTAATACTGTTAGTACTGCTCCCCAACACCACTTTGGGAAGGAAGGGGAACTGAGGCCCAGATGGGTTGTTTCTCTATGATGGCCTCTGTTATATAGAATGGCCTTCCGGAAGACAACATTGGCTCCATCAATAAAAGCCTTCTAGAAGCTAGTTAAAAACTGGAAGCTAGTTAAAACTGGGGGTGTTGGGATGAATTGTGATAGCACTGGGGCTGTTACATAATTCTAAATGTAACTTAAATTTAATTTTAAGTTACTGTGAAAGTTTTAGTGTTGCATTTTACAGTTGTTATAAATCCTCCAAGAGTTTCTTGATGTGGCACTATATAAATTTAAGGAATGAATGAATAGACTAATATGATCTTTATATCTACAACACATGGATTTCAAATAGTCAATTTCTAATAGTAGTATAGATGGACTTTTGACTGTGATGGTAGCAACTATATAATGATCAGGTATAGAAATTCCATTGTACATTAAAGATTCTCAGAGCCCTTTCATTTTTACTTTGTATTATTTGGAGAGATAAATGGCAATTAATACTGTTTGTTACATATTATTTTCTAAGGTTTACAATGTATATATTATAACATTATATTTTTGAATGAAGAAATATTGTGTTTTGTTTAATGAGGTGATAGAGAAGGGAGTCTTATTTTTAAGATCCCTAAAAATAAACCATTAAGCCCCATTCTAAACATTCCCTATCATATTTGTCTCCCAAATTCCAGATACTTCCTTCCTTTTTGCTTCTCCTTATTTTTCTTCCACCACTAACTTGATAAAATCTACAGTGACTGAATCAGTGTTTTTCAACTGTGGCAACTTTAAGATGTACAAGTATGGGATTCTTGCTGGGGAATTCTGGGAGTTGAAGTCCACACATCTTAAAATTGCCACGGTTGAAAAAAAAAACTGGTCTAATTATAAAAAAAAAACAAACCCAAAATAACTGGTGCTAAAAAAAAAGGGTACACAATGTTCTGTAATTTATATAGTTTCAATGTACGTTAGTTTGGGCCCAAATCCCTTGTGGTCTGAGTGTTTACATAAAAATAAGTTAGAATATAGCACATGCAAATGTGGCACACGTTCATTGTAATGATATATTCAGATTAATAATGTTCTTATGATTGTCTGTAAATGCTCCCACACATACACACATGCTATGTAAGGCATCTTGGATGAGTTTCTTCAGAGCCAGTTCAAATGTCCAACTCTGCAGTCTTATGCTTTTAATTTGGCAATGGCTTCTATTTGGAGCAGTTTAAAGCAAGTGTGAGACAAGAGCCAGAGCTATGGCTTTTGAATTGCTGCACCACTCTTATAGCCCATTAGACGGAAAAGGGCTAGAGGGAAATAGTGCTTTTTTGGCTTTAATACTTGGACAGAGGTTTGAATTTTTGAAGTTTCAATTTTTCCTGAAAAAGAGTAATGTTGAAGACTCTCAGTTATAAAGCTCATCTACTGAAAGTGAACCAAATATTGTCATTTATGAGACAAAAATATTGGGCTAACAAAATAGAGGAATATGGTATTTATCACCGGTGCTGTGTGCAAGGGGAAATAAAATAGCATGCAATCAGTTTAGCTTTTGGCAGCCATGGCTTATTTCCCCTTAGAATGAAGTATATCTGCCAATTTTTTAAGTTGTTATTTATCTTTTTTTTAAGTATGCCTTTCCTTCGGCAGAAGTGTCCAAAGCACTTTTTTTTCTCTTTCACCTTTGGGCACTCTAGTTGCAATATAGCTCTATGGAGACATCAGCATTGGCCTTCACCAGGTTGGCAATGACCACGGGGCAGAGATTCTGGGCTGTATATCTCCCATAAGGCAAACTTGTAAAGAAATTGTCATTTAGTGTTCTGTTCAAGGAAATCTGGCTCCTTCTGCAGCTGGAAACAATTCTCTTTTTCAGTGCCTGTCCTGGAAGAAGGCTTTTTGAGAAGTTTTTAGCTTACAAGTCCTTGCATGAACTCTTTCACTCTCTCTTCTTCAGTGCTCTATCTTTTATGTTTTAAACTTTATTTCCACTGGTCCTTCATTATTCTTGCAAATATCTCACCCCTGCCTTATTCCTTATTGGAGAGAAAAAGAAGTTTTATATTTGTCTAGTTGTTGAGGAAGAGAGCTGAGACCATTTGAGAAGAAAAATGTTTATGAACTAACCCTAAAATTGTTTTTTTAAAAAATGGCAATTTGCTTGTTCTCTTTCTTTTACTCTCCCTTTCTCTCTTGTATCCTTTGCATCATAAAATACCTTCTAGTGATTCCAAATGAACCATGTATATTAAAATTGCTTCCATAAAAATGTTTTTAATAAACAAGTCATTGTAAAAAAAAGATTGTCTGCGTACTATTATACTAAACCTATTTCTTTTTTTTAAAAAAAATCACACTTATTTAACAAATTTCTATTCTACCATAAAAGGTGAAATCTTTGAATCAACCTGCCTCCTGGTGAATTAATGAACACATCCATGTAGTTTTCTTGGCAAAAATATGGGAGGATTATATTTTGTAGGGCTTATCTTTTGAGAAGATTTTCTCTTCACAAAGTATAACGCTCTTTTAATAGATATTTTGTGGATTCAGAATTCAAATCTGCATCTGAGTGTGAACATTTTCACAAATTTAATGTTAAATGCTTTTGACATTTCCCCTTCAAAATTTTAATTTTGAGTGCACTTCTCAACTGCTTTGTTGGAAATAAAGTCTGGTAAGCTGACAAATACAGGAACACTTTCTACATTTGTGTCATATGCAAGATGGCACTAAACATGAGAAAATGCTTTCCAATTACAACCATTACATTCCAATAGCAATAGCCAAATATTGAATACCTCTGCATATTGCCAATCATGTGAAGTCAAATATTACATAGCAAGTTAGTTTTCTGAAAGTAGGACTATGCAGACTGAAGATTCATGTATCTTAATGGCTGAAAAATCTTAGAAACATCAAGCTTGGGTTTTGCGAAACCAAACAGTAGAATTAAATTCTCCAACTACATGCTGAACGTAACATTCCTCCATCTGAATTCCACACTAGCCTTTGTCTTGCTAATCCCATGCAAAATTAGGGTGTGGACAGTGAAGAACTGGAGTTCTTAGGCTTCTCAAACACTGACTAGCATCAAAGAATTGCATTCTCCCTAGGACAGAGCAAAGCAGATGTTATTTATTTGTTACATTTCTGACCTGCCCAACACACTCAGAGAAGAATTCTAGGCAGTGCACAATAAAATGTCAAAATATAAAAACAGCATATGAAATTAAAATGTTAAAATTAAAAAATTGAAATTTTTGTTTTAGAGGAAGGCAACAATAATTAAACCCTGTTAAAAATAATTTAAAAAGTGAAGGGAGGGCTCTTAGGGCATCAACCAGCTGTACCAGCTGCAGGCTTCTTTCAGCTCCCCACAGGAGAAATTATTGTTATGTAGGTGGGGATTGGAATTGTTCTTGTGCTCTCTCATTTGTCAAGTAGCTTAACCCCTAGCTTTAAGCCCTGACATCTGATTGTCCTTCCCCAATGAAAAATACTGTGTTTGATGTTATCCACTGAATCGTATCTGACCCTTGGTAATTCTGTAGATCAGGTCTTTCCACATCTTCCAATCTTGCACTTCTTCTTCTTTGGAAAAAGAAGAAGTGTATTGAATTGCAATGGATATTTGTGATTCCTTGTTCAACACCTCAAAGTGTAGCCAACATATCTATTTTGCTTGCTGGAAACCAAGAAACTAGCTTAGTAGACCATGTGTTCTACTTTCTTCACTGTCCATTCTCCTTATGACTACAGAATTAAAGGCATTTGGAATATCATTCACTAGAGCAAGCAGGTACTACTGACATCATACCTTGTTTGACTTTTTTATTTACTTGGCTATTCATGGAAGATAAAGCTGAGCTAGGTTGATCCAAATAAGTAGAGTTTATCTTATACTCCTGTGTTCTCCCTTAGAATCAGAAAAAATGAGACAATTTCTGCTCATAGAAAATGGAAAAATAGAGAACTTTACTCAAACTAGACTTCCAATGGAGCACATGCAATTTCTCCATCTGGTTTTCCCCCCAACAAAAACCATATTCCTAGAAGACTTCTTTTAATCCATTTGTAAAATATAGATTTTTTTTAACTAATGATAGCAGAGCGGTAATTATATGTGCCGTTCCTAGTTTTATATAGGAGGCAATGTAAGAATAACATCACTGAACTCCCCAATAACAACAAATATAGGAATACTAAATTATGCATTTTGCATCTTAAATGTCTAGTTTCAGGTGTTGATGCTCTTTAGATTGTTTCACAGCATATAGTCCTAATGGAGGAGAAAGAAGATTGACACAAATGCCTGGTTATTTTAGATAATATTTTGATTTGGATAAAGCTGACTAAACAGAGACAAATTATCTTATTCAATTGTAATATTTGTTTGCAATTGGGTTTCTTTGTCCCCACATACTTAAATTTCCAAGAAACACCTGGGTGAAATCTTATTACTGGATGTAATTTTAGTGTGTGATGCATGCTACATTGTAGATACAAATCTGACAAAGGGAATTAATTACAACTTTTAAATTACACATTAGACATAAAGCAGGTCTCTGAAAAATACTGCTTTGGCAGTATTATTTTACAAATCACCCCAGATTTCAAGAGAAAAGTTTGCTGCTGGAAAATATCAAACTATTCCCACAAATTATTGTAAAGTACAGTAAATGATTAAAAGATGTCATTTCCCCATAACAGAAGCTCTTACTTTTGTAAAATCTGTCTAAAACTTTCTCTCCCAGTTCTTGTCCTTGGTGGAATAACAGCTGGATTTGTATTGTGCAATAATGCAATTGTTTGGAGAATATGGGCAGGATGTAAGTCTCAAGGTTTCTTGGCAAGTTTGGTTGGCATAGATATTTATCAGGTGTTTTCCCTACTGATTTACAGTTAGAAACTGGATTGCAACTGCTCCACTTCTGCCAAGTTCTTTGCTAGGCCTCAGCAAAAGCAGAGATATTCCCCTAATAAGGGGAGTGCATAGTTAAAAGTTGTTTACAAATGAGAGGAACTTAATAAAAGCTATTTTTAAAAAACCTCTATGGAACTATATATAGGAACTTCAAGTGTTTTACAGCATGAACTTTCCCTCAATGAGGGAAATAGGTGGTTAAGAACTTTGATATATAAATAAAAGGAAACTGCCAAAACTGGGTTAGCCAGAGAACTATTTTTAGATGGCTCCAGTGAGTCAGTGGGTAGGAAAGAACGATCCAACAGAATTGACAAAACATGGCTGATAGAATGATCAGGAGGCCTGCTTTATAGTAAGGGAAGAGAAGGACTTAAACATAATATATTTCCTCCCATAGTAAGTTAAGATTTTAGACCAAGTTTCCTACCCTATTTTAAAGAACTATATTAGGCTTAATACTGTGAGTGCAGAAAGCAGGATTCTGAAATGGCAAGCCACTCCGGAGCGGCTGGCGAAAAATTTAGAAAAATATGGGCCTTCTTCTTAATGAAGACATTACATTTCTTTTTCTTTGTGGTTAAGAGTAAGTGGTTATTCTAATTGCTACAGTTTTGCAGCATGAACTCACATTTGAAAATCTCAACATTTTCTATGGATAGTACAAAGCAACTGCTCCCCAGTTGGTCTTCTTCCTGAGATTTTGTAATTCCAAGGAAAAGAAATTAAGAAATGCAATTAGGTTTAGAATAAGGAACCATGACTTATGTTACATGGACATATCTAACTTTTTATATGATAAACAGAATGAGGGGATTTCTATTTGCAAGCCTAGAAAAAAATAGACACGTTATAATACTGTATCCTTTGGAAAGCACAAACATTCTGTTGATCCACATATTCACTTTTTCTCATCTCTCTTTAAAACTATGATAGATCCACCACAACTCAAAAACCAGAAGAAATTATGGAACTTTTCATATGCTTTTATTACCTGCAGAGAAAATTGAATGCATATTTTTGACTAATGGGACTTATAAGGGCTGAAGATGGCAAGATGAGGATTCAGAGCAGAGAAAGCCTTTGTAGAACACTGGTCAGATCCACAGTAATCATATGGCTGGGGGGAAAGCAGTTAACAATCAACTAACAGGAAACAATTGGGAAAAAAGTCATAAAAGTTGGGGCTATTGGGTTTGCAGCAAGCCAATTCTCCACACATATATGGATTCTTTGCTTGCAATAAAACAACATATCTAGCAGTGTCATGTCCTTAAAGCTTCTGTTAGCTACTTCTTGAATATGAGGGCAAGCTTCTAGAAAAATAGTGATAAATAGCCATGTCTGGCCCAAACTCTCATACAAATACTGTTCAAATTTGGTAAATCAAGTTACATCTAATACTAGATGAATATCAAATTCGTATGTCCTTAGCAAAGAACCTCACATGCACATACAAAATAAATTTGACAAATCACTCCAAGGCAAACATATATTTTAATTTTCACAAAACAGAATAAGTTGGTATTTTAAATCTTCAGATGGTGTTGCATTTCTGGCTTTGGGAATGGGGATAAATTAAAAACAATGGGATCCAGCCATAATAGAATTTCTTTTTTAAAATCCAAATATATACATACTGAGCAGGTGTCCAATGTGGCTGTGTTGACTTGGATTCCGCTTAATGGCTGAGATGCCTCACATTGGATTTACAATGAAGCTACAGGAGATGGTCTCCCATCTTACATGGATGAGTATAGCTGTTCGACGAAATGCATTGACCATGGATTGGGGCCTTAACTTAAAGAGTCTACCCTGTATTAACAAGTAAAAATGGTGAGAGGTGTTTTTTTAAGTAAACAAAAGCCAGCTTTTGTAAATTCTCACAACATCACAATGACCCCAAGAAACACTTTAAAAAAAAAGTAGTACAAGTAATAAGACTAGAGGAAGGTCATCCACTGCTCTGATATTAGCAGACTGTCTTGGCTGAGCTTGGCAAAGGATTAGAAAGACTGAATACTTTCATAAGATTTGCTGCATTTCCTGTTAAGTGCTCTGTATCTTTACGGACCATCAAGGCGAAATGGACAGTCCAAAGAGACAGTCCAAAGAGACATTCCATTTTGCTGAATTAGTTCCTGGTGAATATGAAATCAAAATGTTACTTATGTAATCATTACAATTTATCCCACCCTAGAATTTATTTGGCTATTTACTCACTAGTGACTTATAGCACTTTATTAATGATTTGTTGCTTCAGCAATGCTATAAATCTGTAGGGAGGAAATAGTTTATTTCACTTTCATCATAATCCATACTATCAGTGGCTATCATTCAAAATACAATCTGCCAAACAAGAGTTTCAGGTTGCAGACAGGAATCAGACACTTGAAAGCTGACCGTGCAAATAAGCCAGATCTACCCAGTGACTCAGAGTGAATAATACTTTGAAATGCAGATAGCCCAAGTAACTCTTATATTTAACCATTTTGCAGCTAAAGCAATGGTCAACGTGGCTCTTCAGATGAAACTGAACTGCAGTTTCTATTGGCTTATCTAAGGTGGCAGATGGGAAAGTGATACAGTATTTTAATTTAGCAGTATAGGGAAGCCCACTGGTTTCTGTTGGTTTCTGCAGTTTAGTCATCGGTGTGATTTTGAAAAAATGTTCTCTTTTTTCACTTTCATAGGCCTTTAGAGAGAGGTAGCATTTTTCATCGTGGGGTGTGTGTGTCACAACTCATCTTGCTAACTTCCTTCAGCTTTTCAGCCAATGAGATGGTGATGTCACCAGATTTTTCAAAAAGATGAGGAATTATTTTTGCTGTAAGAATGGAGGAGAATATATGTTGTGCAAGGCTGAAGAGAGGGTGGGGTGAGAGTCGTTCTCTGTTACAGCCATTTTCACTTCATTGTTTGCTGATTTTAAAGGAAAATCCCCATGCTAAGACATCTTCCATTCCAATATACAGGTAATTATTCAGATGAAAAAAAACACACACCTTTATCTTCGGTCAGTGAAGAATCAATCTGTGGTATCAGGTACTTGAAAGCTATAATGGATGCTATACACCAGGGGTCTTCAAACTTGGCCCTTTTATGATTTGTGGACTTCAACTCCCAGAATTCCTCAGCCAGCTTGTCTGGCTGAGGAATTCTGGGAGTTGAAGTCCACAAGTCATAAAAGGGCCAGGTTTGAAGACCCCTGTGATACACTATCCTTATCACTTGTTCATCTGTGATGTCACCAATTATAATGATGTAGGCTTGTGAACTATATGTTTATTTGCTAACTTAGCCATTCATGGGGTGGGGCCATAAAGAGCTTTGTTTTTGTCACAGCTGCGTGGGTTGAGTAAATGAGATCATTTATGTGTGTCCTTAGAAAAGCATTTAACTTAATCTTCTACCATGTAGATACACTTGGGTCAGCAAAGATTTGTTTTCCCGTAAACGCCACTTCCCATTAGTCCTCTTCCTCCATTTCCTCCTCTGAGTGATCCTCATTTTTCAAAGGGTCACTGAATTCAAAATTTCCTTCAATGTCCAGCACTTGCAGATGCTTTAGTCTTTGGAAAGTGCTCTCTTTCACAGCACTGAATGCAATCTTGTTAAACCTTGAAATTGAAAGGAAAAAAAAATGAGTAGAATTACCTCCCAATACTTTATGACAATGTCCCTCCTTGTCCTATAAATTGTATACTAAGAGGAGGATACCACGAAAATGGCTTTTTATAAGGACAAAGGAGGTTAGTCTGTTTCTCTCCATTTTATGCTCAGATTTCAGTTTTGGGGTTTCATCTCCAGCCATTCTACCTTTCTTCTTACAATTTCAAGAGATTTCTGTATGCACAAAGGTAGAAAGGTAGCCCTCTACTTGGGCCCAAAATTTCTACTGCTAAATGAAACATATGTTATGTGAATTTTGCCCCATTTTACGACCTTTTTTGACAGAATTGTTAAGTGAATCACTGCGGTTGTTAAGTTAGTAACACAGTTGTTAAGTGAATCAGGCTTTCTCATTGGCTTTGCTTGTCCGAAAATTTAAAAAGGTGATCACATGATCCCGGGACACTGCAACCGTCAAAAATATGAGTCAGTTGCCAAGCGTCTGAATTTTTATCATGTGACCAAGGGGATGCTGCAATGGTGTGAAAAACTTTCACTTTTTTTCAGTGACATCATAACTTCAAATGGTCACTAAATGAACTGTTGTACGTTGAGGACTACCTGTACTGTATCTGACAAGGATTCATAAGCACAACAAATGCACAATTTCTTGTCCATGAACAATTAGCGCACATGCTTGAAGTACAGTATAGAGTTCATACATAAAGGAAAAGGTATCTTTTACATTTGTGAAATCATTAATATTTTTCTGAGAGTCTTTTTCCTGGCTACAAACCTGAGATAAATTCCCTTTATATTGGGGGTAGAATCAAAGGCATCCTCTGGCACAGTGCTGATCTTGTTGCTCTGGAGATACAGATACTCGAGAGTTTCTGGTAAACCAGATGGAATAGAAGTCAGATGATTGGCAGCCATGTCCAGTATCTGGAACAGGATCCACAAGAGAATAATTTAAATAATTAACGGAAGTCATTCTGATGCTTTGAAAAGAGTAAATTGCTATAAATCCCACATCCTGTCATTCATTCAGATCTGTATTTTGTAGGTGCTAGGTTTACACACCAGTGAGATATCCACAATACTGCAACCATTAGTGCCCAATAGCAGAGTGAAAGCTCTCATCTCTTCCCAGCAAATAATCACTGTATTTCTTATCCTTCTCCTTCATAGTCACACAGACACACCACCACTTTTGATATTGCACAAATTCACTTGTCTGTTCTGTAGTGTTATTTCTTTCATCCCCGTCACCTAACATATTAGCAAGAGGAGTCCCAATTCTTTCATGTATACATTGAAACACAGTTATGGAAATGAGCTGAATCTGGGTGTGACCATCAGGCTATGTATCTCAATAGTATATGCATCCAGGTTTGAACAACTTGTGGCTCTTAAGCTCTTAAGCTGCCCCAATTTCAAAACTTAGCACGAATGATATGTTCAGATATTTAAAAATTATCTCTCCCTTACCTATGTTTTCCTCAGAAGAGAAAAAAAAAGGTTTTAGAAGGGAAAATAAAAAAAGAGATTGGGGATAATGGGTGTCATACAATGTTTAGCTCTTCCCTCTCCCCCTCCCTCTCTCTCTCTCTCACACACACAGAGAATTTTCTTCAAGTCAGCCCAGTATATAGTTTCTAAGAGATTGCAAGTAGTCCTTGATTTATGACCACAATTGAGCCCAAAGTTTCTGTTGCTAAGCAAGACAGTTCTTAAGTGAATTTTGTCCCATTTTACAACCTTTCTTGATACAGTTGTTAAGCGAATCACTGCAGCTCTTAAGTTAATAACACAGTTGTTAAGTGAAACTAGCTTCCTCATTGACTGTCAGAAGGTTGCAAAAGGTGATGACCCCCAGGGCATTAAACAAGTGTGTTGCAGTTAAAACCTGCTGTATTTTTTCCAAATCAGTAGTGAGTCAAAGCCACTACTGGTATCACAAGGACTTTAGAAATGCATAGCAGGGCATGCTAATTCCATGGTTAGAGATAGAAATGTCTTTGATTCCTTAATATTCCACCCATCTCAATATACCTGTTGGTTTTTTATTCCCTCCTCCCCCTTTTACCCCTCTACAGAGCTTCAGATTCTATGGTAAACTAGCATAATATTTACTTTTTTTCATATTGTGTGGTTTGCATCATTCTTTCATTTTATATCTATTCTAGCTGTGATTTTCTCAGAACATGCAGCTTAATTTTTCTCTCACAGATCTGCCTATATGAAAGAGTTATATACTATTTTTGATATCATTTATATGCATCTCTAGATCTAGACCTTTGTTTGTTTGTACCTTAAGACTGGCGAGATCTCTCCATGATCCGCTGTGAATTAAATTGTTTTTCAATTTGTTGGCACTCAGATACAGCTCCTGTAGCTTTGACATTCCAGAGAGTGTGCCTTTGGGAATGGAACTGATCAAATTCATTTTTAACTTGAGGCTTTGCAGATTCTTGGGGAAACCATAAGGCATGGTGCGGAGTTTATTGCCAGAAAAATCCAAGGACTTCAGTAGTTTCAGTTTACGGAAAGACTCCCGATGAATCTGTGAGCTAGTGATCTTATTGTAACTCAGGTTTAGTTCCTCCATGAAATAAGTGGTAGCAAAATCTTCCCTGCCAATTTCTGAAATCTGATTGTAGAGAATCATAAGAGTTTTTACTCGTCTGGGCAGCCCACTAGGGATTTTTTCCAGTAGGTTGTTATACAAATGAACAGTGTGCAATTTCTTCAGGCCATGAAAAGCCAGTGGATGGATCTCTCGGGCCTTCAGTTTGTTATTATGAAGCAGAAGATATTCCAGGTTCTTGATTTGGGTCAAGACATCATTACCAATTGATCTTATTGCATTCTTCTCCAAGTGGAGAAGAACAATGTTTCGAGGCAAACCGGGTGGAATCTGGGAAAGGTTATTGCTAGACAAATCCAGGTACTCAAGGCTTGAGAGTTTCCTTGGGGGAAAAAAAAGGAATTCCTTTTAAGTATTTAAGTAGCAAAACACAAAGTGTTAGCAGAGGGAAAATAAATAAGTTTTGCTTCTGTTCCTCTTCACTGAAGCAATTAGGATAACTATACCTGCAACTCTGCCAGACCTTTTTTTTTCCATATGTACAGAAAAACTGTTGCTATCTATACAGTTCATGATGAATAAACCCCAGTTCAAAAATCCACACCTAATTATTGCCCCTTTAAAGCAGCACGAACAGGGAGTGGTCAAAAAAAGACAATCTGGCAGCCATGACAATGTGCTCAAAATTCCTGGGTGGAGATTCATTCACACCATTATGGCTGACAGCTTTTCTGACTACACCTTGCAGACACTTGAAGAAGCCCCTTGTTGTGAGCTGCCATTTTAATCTCCTGGAGAACTAGATAAACATTTATCCAAGCTTGTCAAAGGCTAAACCAACTCCAGTTTCCAGTTTAGTATCTTAATCAAAGAATGACACAAAAAAGGAGTCAAAAATAGTCAATTATGTCTTACAATAAAAGAAAATAAATATGGATCCCTAACCCTTTAACAGTTGAATATGCTTAGAAGAAGAGTCCCATGGTAGTTTGGAACCATGCAAAGTAACCCAGCTACTATTATCCACTAAATGTGCATCCATTAAAGACTAACAAACTCACCAGAAGGTTTCATTGTCCATCCCCTTATTGGTTAATTTATTATTCTGCAAATATAGCTCTCGAAGTTCTGACAGCTGATTGAAAGCTCCTACAGGAATCTTCTCCAATTTGTTATTCTGTCCAGAGACAAAGGGAGCAGGCTATGAGTCTCTTCACTGAATCTTCAGTCCTTGGACTATAAGAGGGATGTTCTAAGGTGGTTGCCGTGACAGGAAGAGGCCAGAGAAAAAGCCTTCAATGAATATAAGAAGACAATCTCTAGAATTTCCTGCCAGATTTTTTTCTGTTCTACTGTAGAATATCATTCCCAGGGGTATCTGCAGGAAGGAGATCAAAGTCTACTCACCTCCTGAGATTTGTTTGGCATTGTGCTGGTATAATTTGGCTGGCACTGCTTTTTAAAGACACTATCAGGTGGTTTCCTTTTGTAGTTGTTTGATAAATTCTTTAGCAAACAATATGGTCCATAAATATAATAACTAAGCAGTCAATGTATTCAATAATTCAAAAGAATAAGCTTTATAAAGACTGAGGTTCTGACATGTAATGGAACTGATATTCTACCTTAAGATGTAGCTTATATAATGCTCTTGGTAGATTCTTCGGAACATATTTTAAGAAGTTGCTGGACATGATCAAGATTTCCACGTTGTCAGAACCATTGAACATGTTTTCTGGTAGTCCGGCATCATCAAGCTTATTGTTGTGAAGATAGACTGACCTATCAGAAGAAAACAGATGGTGGTAGGGGAAGAGGAGACAGAAGGAGACAGAGATAGACAGAAACAAGGCTGGAAATCAAGCCTATGCTGCTTGATTGTTTTCTGAAAATAACATCTCTCTTATATCAACTACTCCTCAAGTTAGCAACTATCCACACTCTTCCCACCAGATATAATTCAATACAACTCTATCATGCTTCCATTTACCTGATTAAAGCTAAAGTATTCCAATATTTCTTCATAAAAAACTTGCTGTCGAATCAAGTCAGTTGCTTTTTGTTTTAATTTTTATAACTCTAAACTAAGGGCGTCTCTTTACTTATCCTAGCCCTGGGACCAACATGTACAGGTAACCTTTTTCCTCCCTGGTTTCCCATGACACTACTTTCATTGCACCTCCAGCCAGGAGCAAGAAGACAGCCTAATGTTATCCTTAACTCTATTGTGGTTGAAATAGCACTTTCCTCTTACTCCGTCAAGGGCACCCTCCAAATTCATAATATCTATTTTTACCCATGAGCCTTTATCTCATGGAGGAAAGTCAGACAGAGGCCAATAGTACAGACAATTAGGATAGACCCATCACAATTAAAGAAATATTTCTCTTGAAAACCCCTGCAATCTTAAATTAATCTCAGCAATATATTAGAGAATTATTTGTCTATGTTGTTTTCAACAGGGTATCGTCTAAGTTATTATGAGCCTTGCAATCCACTTAAAACAAAAAAGTGGATGGGTCAAATGCATGGGAATCAAATGTTACCGTAGGGATTAAATAACAATTTTTTTCTTGACTCAAAATTATTTTGGAATTTTCTGAATAGTAAAACAATCAGTCTCATCCTTCCCAGTGAAATATGTGGTAATGCAGATGTTTGATTGTGAAAGACTGCATAATTTGGGACAGTTTGTTGCAAAGGATAAGCTCAGTGACAGATCCCTAGAAAACCATGGTTCAATCACAGGCCACAGAAGGCAGCCAGTGAATGTAAGCAATGCTGAGATAGGGGAATTTAACTTGGGCAAGAGAATTCCCTACGTTTAGAGATGGGGAGAGAAGGAGGGCTGAATTTTTGAATTCTGTTCAATTACAAGCATTTTGTAATTTGTAAAAGCTATACCTTTCCTGGACCTGTGATGTAGAAACCATAGAAACATTTAAGCCAAACAAACAAATAATTATGAAAGCAGATATAATTAAATTTTGCAAGATTTCGGTCTTCTTGCGGGACATCTTACAAGATGTCAGTCCTTCTAATTTATTATATTTTATATATTTATTTATAAGTGCTAACATGTTATATATGTTTGTTTGGATCTCTTTCTCCTGAAAAAAAAATATATTCTTACAAACAATGATTGTACGACTTTACATGCTGCTTCTGCTGCTGCTGTTGCTGATGATTAAACCTCCACTTTTTTTTCTCAAAACCTCATTTTTTTTTACCTCAGGTTTGGTTTTTGTCCAAAGGTGAGATCATAAATTTTGGTGAGATTATTGGCGGCAAAATCCACACTGATCAAAGTCGGTGGAAGGAACTTTGGAGCCATTGTGAGCTGGAAAAAGAGAGACAAGGCCAGAGAAGGAAATCATTGTCAGAGATACAAAGGCTTCAAACACACGTTCATCCTTGCGTTTCCTTCAGAATATTAAACGGCTATTTGTTCCAGTGAGGAAAGGTATTATAAAGCTGCTTCATTTATATCAGAATCAAGGATTTCTACCTTCCTCTCTAATACTAATAAATATCAGTGTGGAATGCAGTTAAGCTTTCACTTGGAAAGCCATGCTTATTGGGCTCAATGCATATATAGGAAGGACAGATTGAGAGAACAAATATATTTTGCACAGTTTATGGGTCCTTCTTCCATAAATAGTTGAATCTTCTTTCTTAGGCAAGTCCCAAGAAAACCAAGAGCTTGGGAACAAATTCTCCTAAACATTAATTCCACAATCCCTAACATAAATAGGCCATAATTTATTTATTTTTTGCAGAAGGTTCTCTTTGAGAACTACCTAAGTGCTTCTGACTCTGTTGTAACTCTGTATGGATGTAATAGAGAAACTATGATGACTATTTAACATTTATTTTGGGCCAGTTATGCACTGAACATTGTGTATGGGGGGGTACAAAAATAATAAAAGAAATACAAAGCATATACAGAACGGCCTTCTAGTATTATTTTGCTTGCCAAGATCTCTTTTAAAAAAGAAAAGAAAAGTGTTCTTCTAATATGGTTTTGTTGCAAGATTTCCAAGGGTTGACTGATTGATTTTAAGTTGATAAGTATTTACATACAGTAACATTTCATAGGGAAATATTATTCAATTGACTTCAAAATGCATTCAATAATCATCGCACATTGAAGGCATGTGATAATTGGTGGAAATAAAATTAGGAAATGGGAAGAGGACAGCCCAGTAAGGGCCAAGCAAGCTAGAATTCTATTCTGGGAGCATTTCACCCATTTTGATGCTGGCTCCACTTCAGTCATAGAATCCCATCCCCTGAAGAGGCCAGTGAGACCAGCTCAAGATCATTTAGACATTTCAGTCCAAGACTCAAAAGTCAGAGGGAGATTCCACTTTGTATATGATGTCCAGTTCTGGTCTTAATATTTTTTTTTAAAAAAATAGACAATAGCAATAGCACTTACACACCGCTTCATAGTGCTTTACAGCCCTCTCTAAGCAGTTAAACAGAGCCAGCATTTTGCCCCCAATAATCTGATTGCCCCCATTTTACTGATGTCAGAAAGATGGAAGGCTGAGTCAACCGTGAGCTGGTGAGGTTTGAACTGCCGAACTGCTGGCAATCGGCAGTCAGCAGAATTAGCCTGCAATACTGCATTCTAACCACTGCACCACCACGGCTCTTGCTATTGAAATACGTCCTTTAAGAAGAGCTAAGAGGAGAAAAAAACCTAGAAGACTGTAAGAAAAGGCAATATGAAGGGGATCTCTACAATCTTGACTCATATAGACTGAGAGATTCTTTCTACATTAAGATCCAAGTTATTCATGAAAATGTTGAAAAGTACAACTTGCAAATATCCTTATTCATCAATGCTACATTAAATTTAATCTAAATGTTTTTTATTTTACTGTCACACCTAAATGCACATTATCCTAAAGCCTTTTCTGTAGTTTTATAATCAAGGCTAGGCATGTAATGATTCACTGGGGAGGGCAATAACTCCAGCCTATCCCTGTTGCTCTGCTGGAGATGAATTTCAGGTAAAGCCTGAAAATAAATTTCAGTCTCTTAATCCTGAATATGTAAAGCAATATTTTTTTCGGTGTTTCTCTGACATTTCATCAAATTCTCTTTTCAACAGGCTTGCTTTTATTATTTGGATATGGGGGTTTTTTTGGCAGCACCAGCAGCACCAGGAAAGACCAATGATAGCTACTCTATCTCATAGAAAAAAAATTGGACACAAAAGTTCTGGAACATTAGTCATAGCCTGGCTTGGATTTTGCTTTGATGAAGCCCTCTTCACTGCCAAAAGTGTTACATGGAAAATTGTTGTAAATGAAGGAAAGGACACGATGTTACTAGATAAGCAGTTTGGTATAGCAACTCAACAATAACACTGCACATTGTTTGAAAAAGAAACTGAGTTGCTGAACTTTTTCTTTATATGATGATAGCTATCCAAATTCTTAATTATCACCTACCAGCAAATACTGTGGAGCAGTAGGGTTCCCAAAGAGTTATGCAGACTTTCATAACTGAACTCCAAAATTAAGAATGTTTCCTTTACTTATCACTGAGTTATGTTTTGACCAGGCCAGTACATAAACCAATTAAATAACATTAATAAATAAAATAAAGCATTGGGCTAGAATAGGGAGGTTTGGCCCATGCAGAGACTGGCAGGAAATTAGCTCGTGAGGGAAAAAAAATATTTAATGTATATATATTTATTAATCAAGAACTTAGTGCTAAAGATAGAAAATTATAGAATATTATAAACAGAATATAATAGGTCCTGAGGTTTCAATATGATGCTTGTTTTGTAATTAGATATTTTTTTTCTCATAGAGGAACTTTGATGGAGATACGCTCGCTGTATGCTGATCTAAGCTCAAATCATATGATTCAAATACCAGAGTTTATGTAACTTCATTTCCTGGACATTTCAAATAAGGCAGCAGTTTTCTCCCCTCTCCTGAAATTCCCCAGAGAGACTTGAGGCTCCTTTTTAACTGGATTCTTTGAGCAGAGGCTGAACAGCCCTCTGCTGGAAATGCTTTAAATCAGATTCTTGCACTCAGGAAGGAGTTGGACTTAAATGCCTAAACGGCCCTGTTGATTATTTCTATCAATTCTATCAATGTAATGCTATCAAATTAAGGGAATATTTTGTGGTCAAGGAACCTGGCAACACAATTTTTTTTTCCAAAACTACAACAATTGTTGGATGATTATTTGAATCCATAATTTCCACACCTAAGATTTCAATACTTGATCTAACTTGATCTAACCATTTTCTAATGTTCTAATGTTCTAATTGCTTTTATATATATAACATATTCATGAAGATCCTCAAATACAGGAGAAACGATATTAAATACAATGACTTTTCCTCTGAAAGGTAATATAAATTTCATCTCAATGTCACATATGGTAAATTTAAAGAAAAGTCAAGACTTTAATAGGAGAAATTATTGTAGCCTCATGAATTTAGAGAATTATTTGAAGAAAAATCCGCAACTGGTATGGTTCCTATAGGGAAAGGAACTTACATTTTTTTTTACTGATAAATCTCTTCATATAGATAATTTTCATGTTATGTTGCCCTTGTTGCCTAGCTCTAATCTAACTACTGTCGTAGCTTCTCTTAATTCTTCAAACTTCAAAGCCACAAAGTTGTACCTGCCAAAGGATTATATTCCAGTTTACTTCCTTTTATTCTGGCTGGGGAATATGGGAATCACCGGGCTGCATAGTGGAGGACATCAAGTTGGGAGAAAGAGCAACTCTTGAAACATTTGCTAACCTGGTTATTTGCAAGGTACAGGTAATTCAGATTCTCCAGCTGGTCAAATGTATTCTCTGGAAGCCCTTAAAAAAATATGGATACAGTATTTTGACAATTAGTATCTCACTGATTGTAACCAGTGCAATTTTACCTCCTAAAATATTTTTTTTGTGTTATAATATTGGTTACTGCTGGTGCTGGCGTATTACAAAATAGGAACAGAGGATTATCATCCATTTAAAGGCAATCTAGATTAAAGATCAAAGTCCCTGAGAGGAATTTGTGAAGTTTTCTGCCTCACAAATAGGTACATTGGAGCAATAGACTGAGAATGTTAGATACTATCTTCATAATGCTGATGAGATATTTTTTATTTAAAGCGTATTTTCTTCCAGTTTTGCATCTATACAGAAATGATTCTTTTGCTAATTTTGTGCCAAGAGTGGCGTTGTTGTTTTTTATCCCCCACTTCCTTTTTTTCTGATACACAAATAAGTCCTTCAGATTTAGGAAGTGCATCCATTTGCCAGGAAAAAAAACAAGGCTAGGATATGACATATGGCCAGTCTTTTCTGTAATATTGTCTTTGCTGGCTATTATATTTACTTTTAAGCTATTTTGGATTTTCCACCTTACCTTTGGATGTGAGTCTGTTGTTTTGTAAATTCAATGTTTCTAGCCAAGGGAGACGTGCAAGCTGTTCTGGAATGATTTTTTCTATCTGGTTGTTCTAAAAGAAAAGATGCATTAAAAATAAAAGATATTAGCTGAAAGCATTTGATCCCTAGTTAACTTCATTGGAGAAGTTTTCCTTTGAAACAACAGGCTCGCCTGAGTGGCAAGGAGACCATTCTTGAATGTGCTCATACAGCATTATAGTTTTCGAATTACAACAATTCGTTTAGTGACTGTTCAACGTTACAATGGAACTGAAGAAAGTGACATGACCAGTTTTCACACTTACAACCGTTGCAGCATCCCCATAGTTACATGATCAAAATTTGGATGCTTGGCAACTGGGATTATACCATATTTATGACAATTGCACTGTCCTGGGGTCGTGTGATCACCATCTGTAACCTTCCTAGCCAACTTCCAACAAGCAAAGTCAATAAATGGGAGAAGTCAGATTAACTTCATGACCATATGGTTCACTTAACAACTGCAGTGATTTTCTTAACAATTATGGCAAAAAGGGGTCACAAAATGGGGCAAAACTTCCAGGGAAATTTAGGGTTCATTGTGGCTGTAAGTCAAGGACATCTGTTCAGTTTTGGTTGTGTCTGCAATAGGCCTATTAAAATAGGGCCAGGACTGAAAGAATTCCTCTGAATCCACTCAAAAGCTTAGGAATAGCTATTCATTATGTTGTTGCTGTTATTATTCCTATCGATCTGTAGCACTTTGGATAAGAAGGCAAAAAAAAAATAATTATTTGGAGCAGGTGTGGGTGAAATTTAGCACCAATTTGCACTTTCCTAACTCTGAAATTTTCCTCAGGATTGGGCAAGTGCTCTTCCATCCTTGCACTTTTTGTGCAAATGATACAAAAGCAACAAGTATCTTAGATCAAAGTGCACTTTCCCAGGTTAAATAGACTTTAATTACAGCTAGTCCTCTTTAGCAACTGCCTCGTTTAGCAACCATTCCCAGTTATGACAGTGATGGAAAAGTAACTTTGCAATCAATTCTTGCATTTACGACCTTCGGAAGATAAAGCAAACAAAAGCTGAAGTACGATCATAAGCATAGTCATGATTTCCCTTAGCGACTGAATTGCCGGTCCCAATTATGGTCACTAAACAAGGACTATCTCTAATGTAGTCATGAATGACCCATTTGTGGTCACTAAACAAAGACTAACTTTACCTCTTTCCCACTAATCAATTTTGAAAACTCAGTTATAAGCTTTGCAATGAACAAATATTATAGGTGACTTGGAGATTTGCCTCATCAAAGAGTTTTCAGTCCTTGTTTAGTGTTCCCATACCTGTAAGGAAAGGTGGCTTGTCATTTCTGGGACATCCATGGGAAATTCCTTCAGTGAAAATCCACCACAATCCACAATTCCTTCTGAGGTGCAGGTGCATTTTTTAGGACAATCTGGAGCCAAGGAAGTATCTTGATGATTGAGTAGCTCAGGAAAATTTTCTGGGAACTCGTTGCTGTTTTTGTTTTTCTGGCCTTGAATCCTGCTGGAGTTAAGTACCAATAGCCACAGCACCGGAAACAGGGATAGGAAGTTCAGGTACATTTCCACTGAAATCAAGGAAACATTACAGTGTATTGGGGATTGCTGCTAGCTATTTTTCATAAATAGGCGCAGTCTTCTATAATGGCAAAACATTTTAACACAAAAAAATGGAAAAACAAGTGGGTAAATCTTATCTACCCTCAGGCATAACCAGTCAAGTGTTCTGTAAGATGACTACAAACTCTGCCAATCAAATTTAGAGCTTAACCTCTTCCACTTTTCAAAACAGGAAAAAGAATGTGTGATCAACATAGCAGCCACTGTATGATAAATGTTCACAACATAACCTACACTTTCCAAATATGTCCATCAGCCCCAAAATCCTACTTCTGAAAGTAAGTATTGTAGTAGAAAAAATACTTCAGATCGTTATTATCTTAATATTTATGTAAAGAATAAAATTGCTGATGAACTTTTTCTTAATCTTACAGCACAAAACTATAGTGGTTCATAACCAAATTTGTCAAGTCTTTCTTACCTGGTATGCTTTTAATACTCACTACTGGTTTTATTTAAATTTAATTAATTGATAAATTAATAATAAATAAATATTTATTTCCTGCCTTTCTCTTTGGAGCTGCTCTCATTTTTCCTGGGAGGTGGGGTAGCAGGAGAGTATTTGGCCCAAAGTCACCAATGAGTTTTGATGGAGGAGGATGGACTTGAACATGGTCTCCCTAGTGTCAATCCAACCCCAAGCCCCACATCCATTTTGCCATTCTAGTTACACCCTAGCAGCCATTTTCCAAGTGGGCAAGCACTGAGTTGTTACCACTGTGGTAACCAGAATGCCCATAATATGATGTCCACTGTACTCACAACCCATTGTTCACTTATTTCATTCTAAGTGACTGGAATAGCTGCTCTCTAGGGCAACTGCTTTAGTTTCAGATGTGTTTACCCGCAACCTTTTTATTCTTTTCTAGTGTGGAAGTTGTTATTGTTTATGGGTGCCATTTGCCTTTTGAATTATTTAGAATATTGAATTGTTGAAAACAGAAGTGCTATAGACTCTGTAGTCATAGTTGCCCATCCCTGATCTATATCGATTATCCTATACATAACAGTATTATTATACATCTCATTTTTACTGAGTATGCATTGCCTATATACGTATCTATAGCAATCTTATAGGGCAAATTTTTCATTCCCAAGACTTAAGGTCCAACACCCTGCTATATTAATAAAATAATTGTTTGGTTCCTCTCCATTTGGAGGGTAATTTCTTTGGAGATATTTTCCACCATACCTCTTCTTTAACTTGACAGTTTTTCCCAATGTTCAATTTTTCAGAGTATGACCACTAAGAATAAACCAAAGGAGTGACAATTTTTCAAAAACTAAATGAGTCATTTAATGTATTGCGTCGAAAGCCAGTCGATGGATAAAATCTTTAGCAGACTTAGATCTTTTCCTATCTGCCGAGTTGAAGGGCTTCCCACTCCTTTGAATAGGTAAAAACTAAACTACCATGATATTTGCTCTGCCCTTCGTTAATATCTAGCTTGCCCCAGTTGCCTGTTTTCAATCATTGCAATCCACTGACTTGCTTCCAAAGTAATAACTTCATAACTTAACAAATTGTACACACCTTGAGGTCACCCTTGGATGAAGTCAGAATGCAGGAGAAAGTCTTACTTCAACACCGGTTGCTAAGTTAGGTTGCTAAGGTTAACTGAAGTTCCCCAGAGGGGCTGGAGACAGGATAAAAACCACCTCGTTGCAGAAAAATAAATGTTAAAAAAAAAATGTTCTCAAGAGCATGCTTGCAAATGAGCAAGCTCCAAAGTTCATAAATGTGTAATATTCCATTTCAAAGAGAATATTATTGCCTCAAACCATGCAAGTCTTTTGATATTTAAGCTTATTAGTGAGACCTCCATAGGGTTTAATTCTAACTCAGAAACTGGTCCAAGCTATTTGTTGTCTATACTCTAATTTCAATGATTATATCTTAAATGACTTCCATTATCAATAAAATTTCTGACATATTACATATGTTAAAGCGCGCCTAGTGTGTTTTTCTTTGATCTGTCTCCCAAATATGCATATATACACACATGCAGACACAAACATACACATATATCCTATACGTGCATAGATATACAGCCTATATGCAGAACAAGTACATTCTAAATACACACACACATACATATACACACACATAAATACAAATGGATGCAATACTGAAATGATAGGTTACCTAGATTTTTAAAACAACAAAATAAGAGCTACTTCTTTAAGAGCATGCCTCCAGGCTCTGCAAGATCCTCATGCTTTTGGCATCAATTTTTCCCTCCTCTAAAGCAACAGCAACTCAGATACCCCTGGGACATGCTTGGGATAAAGAAACATTTGCTAGGTTTCACAAAGAAGGTAATAAAAGCAGGCAAGTTATTCCAATTCCTTTTTCAATTAAAAAAAAAATCTTTTTAAAAATGCTTTTTAAAAACCTGGTTTATATAAAGTGCCTTGTTCAAAGCTTGTCCTCACTTCAAGCCTCGGCCAAGACCTCACCAAGGGTTGGCTAAGATCCTATGACACTCGACCAAGCACAGTATAAAGTTACTAATTGGACAGGTACAACTTTTGGGAAGGTTTTTTTTTTCAGGATCTAAAACAGAACCTCCACTAATCAAATAACAGAATCTCTGTATGAATGCAGCTAGGAAAGATGTCTCTAGAGTGCTTGGATATGCAAGGAATTGCTTGAAAGTTATCTCCTGGGAGTGGGAGAAACAATTGGACATGCACAGAAAATAAACAGTCAATGACTCCGGTGCCTTCAGGCCTCTGCTTTGCCCCTTATTGTTTCTTGTATTACTTGCTCGGCATTATCAGGTTATGCAGATTTGAGTGTTCAGAATGACTTTCCAAAGAGACCCTGCCATTTACCATCCACAACAACCAGGCAACTACAAAATTAAACTTCAGAAATAAACTCACCTCAACTTTGTGGACAGTGATGGAAGTATCTGGAAAAAAAAATTCTCTCTGGTCCCCCCCACCAAAGGCTCCGATTGCTCATGCCATGGCAATTATACACTCGACGAGTGCCGAACACTTTCTCCTTTTCCTGAATCAGAGCCTTTCCAGATGTGATCAGCACAACTAGAAAGGAAAGGGGGAGAGAGAGAGAGGGAGGGAGAGAAAGAGAGCAGCTTCCCTCCAAAGAGAATTTCCTGTCCTTTTTTATGCAGGAAGGAATTTTCCAAAGTCACCATATGGGAAAATGTAAATGAACAGAATGTGGGAGATAAAATATGAGAGAAATTCATAGCTGTGAGATGAATTCAGTGGCTTGCTTACGCCCAGTCATTTTTATCAGCAGAAGCTGTGGGAATAACAAGCAAAGTGTATAACAGGCAGCCTAAAAAGTGAAGAAAATAATTCTTAAAGCCCTGCTTTTTCCCTATTAGCATTACCATTGGAATATTTTCTGATTTCTAAATCTCAAGCTTGATTCCCCCTGACACCAATTACTTTGTACATGGCATATGCTTCTTGAATGTAAACATGGGAAGATATCTTTTTTTTTTCCCATTGCTTGCAGTTTTCCACTCCACTTGACATTCTCCTCAGTGACAGGTTCACATATTTCACAGGTATGTGGGATATAAACAAAGTACATGCCGCCTTATTCGCCTCTTTTTTTTCAAAGGAGAACTCAATTTCTTCATGGAACTGAGGCAACTACTGTTCTTTCAAACAGTTCCAGATGAAGTGCAGGGGAAGAGTGAAATAGGTACTTCCTTTAAGACCAGGTTTAAAATAAGTCAACAAGTTAAATGCCCTTGGATTGACTGACAAGATACTTGTAGGAATTATGCAAATTCTTATCTCAGGCACTAGCCTGAGATTCTGCAACCGTTCTTTCTGAAATCCACTATGTTTATTTGGCTGTGTTTAAATTTCTATTATTTCATCTCCATCACCATTTCTGGATTTTGGTTTACTTTCACTGGATTGAAATTTCATGATTCCCAAAAGGAAAGAGCAAAATGAATGCTTGCATCAAATGTATTGATTGTTTTATGCAAAACTACTCAGTATGGAGAATGTACTCCACACTTTTCTATTCTGTATGTCTACAGGCTGGAATCCAGGATCATACATGCAACATAGAATTCATAAAGCAGAATAAATGCATTTATTTCAAGGTTCAGAAAAGTCCTGGGTTTGGTGGAGTGGGAAACTTTTCATCAAAACATGAAACCTTAATCTTTAGACTTTTTTTCCAGCACTTCCCCAAATATGACGTACACTTTATTTCTCATGTTATGGTTTTTTTCAGGGTACATTGCTGGTAGTTTCAAAAAAAAAATGTTGTTATAACGTATTTCTGCCTATCAGGCATTCAAAGTGAGTGTTGTCCCAAAGGTGCTTTTTCAAAAGGCAACTGGAAAGGAAGAAAAACAAGGAAAAACAAAGTCCAGTTGCCTTTTGAAAAAGCACCTTTGGAACAACCATGATGTGGATGACTGAGAATCTCCATTGACAAAGTGACTGTTGTGCTACTTTCAAAAGCAACTTATGGAAAAGAAAGGGGGGAGAGAAGTATTTCAGGGCATTATTTTAGCACAAAGGGAACATGAAAGTTTACACATCCTTTTTGTCTACTGAAGCTAGTCATAATATGAATGCTATCCAATGATGGGTTTTGGATTTTTTTCAATGGATTGATAAAGCTGCCTTAAAATTCTATTTTGAATTGAAATTTGAGAATGGCAGGAAAAATGTCTGGCTGGTACCACAAAAAAATATTTTGTCAGGCTTTTTACCTGGTATACTCCAGATATGATGCTAGCTGGGAATTATGGGAGCTGAAATCACATACTTCCAAAAGTTTTGAGCAGAATGGCTTAGGGGGATGAAAAGATAAGGGAAGGATAACAAGGTGAATCTGAGTTTAATTTTGCTTTATTTGGGGAACCATACAAAAAAGAGGAGAGAGTTGAGGAAGCCTTAAGAGTAGCTTGAATTACGGGAGATAATCAGATCTGCCAATTAATCTCTGCCACCAGAGTTATTTGCTGAGATGGCTAAAGATCTCTATCAAACAAATAAACAATAAAAATCTCAAGGACCTGATGGTGTGAGAGAAAGAGCTTTTCCATGCAAGAAGTTTGAGCTGCTCCTGGATTGGTTTCAGATCCTGTGATCTCACACTGTACTTTTACTTCAACAGTTGAGCCAGTTCAAGTCCCTCCAAGCTGCAATGGGCAACAAGGAAAAGCTTGGCCTAAAAACTAAGGGAGAAGAAGGAAAATTGATGTTAAGTTCTGTTTGTTCTTCCCTTTCTCTTTGGCAGGGAATGTGCACCACATAAAGTGCAAGATTATGACCTCATTTATTGTTATTTCGTATGTTCCCATTCATTATTTACAAGGTTTATAAACCTCCCTATTCCAGAAGTTCTAAGAAATGTTCATAATCAGAATGCGGTGCAGAGTAACAAAACATCACTCAGTCAATAACAGGAATGGCAAAGATATTCCTCCAGTAGCTTAATTAGAAAAATTAAGCTTGAATTTAGATCCAGAAAGCCATATGACAGAGAAGAGCAGCTACTAAGAAGGGCTCCTGTTCTACTCTGAATAGCTGTGAAACTCTCAGCAAAAACTCTCCTCTTATCTGAATCTGGTAGACAGAATGTACTTGGGAAAGGCGATCACTAAGACACCCAGCTCTGAGCTTTCTAAGGATTGATAGATAATAGCCAGTTCCAAAGGTCCTTTTCTGAAAAGCAACTGGACTTTCCTGGGTTTTTTTTTTCTTTGAAGAAAAAACTTCCAAGAAGTTTCTTCAGATGTTTTGGATGAGAAGAGAAACATTTTCAAGGAAAATGTTTTTGGAAAAGCATCTCTAGAACAGCCATGACCTGGATGATTGAGAATCTCCACAGACATAACAGTCCCTTGAAACACACCAGTATCTAATGCAGTGTCATGTCAGTAGATAACCTCTTGTATTTTACCCCAGCTGAACACTCTGGGTAGTCTTCAAGGAGAGTCTGTGATGATGACTGCAGCTTCTCCTAGTATAATTCTGGTTTTAGACCTTAGAAAGCTTCTAGAGCTGCTATTTATCACTCTCAGAATCTCAGAATTATATACATTGCCTTGCCTATTTGGCATCTTATGGACCACCATAAAGTTATGTCCCAGTTTTTGGAACTATATATATAGTTTCAAAGGCTATTAAGATTTTTATTTCTGATTGTTTGCAGAATATACAATGTGTAGCCTCACGGGTATCTGCTATTGTGTAGTATTTAACTACTTTTCATGAAATCTTTACACCCCATAAGGATAATGAATCAATGGGCAGAGGATGGGAAAATGCTACATTTTATGAAGCCAAATTGTATTAATATTGGAGAGATAATCCTCAGTTATTGGATTTCCTAGGTACAGCCCTCCTCCCTTGCATTTGTCCTACATTTTTAGACATTAACTTCAGATTTATATTGAAAAGTGTTTTGTTATTGTACTTTGAAAGTTTAAATTAGTAGATTAATATGTGGTTCCTGGACCCCTTGCAATCCCCCACTGTCAAAATCCAGTGACAAATCACTGTACAGTCATGGCATAATATAACACCAATTGTGCAAACAAGATCTTCCAATAAGCTTAATGTATGTAAAACTATCTCAAACCACAGAAATGTTTGAAGACTACATAAATTAATGGAAAAAACCTAGGGGGGGGGGTAATGCCCACCCAGTTTTGGGATTCCGTTTCACTTTTCTTTGCAATCACTGGCAGCCAAAAATATTAGAAAAGGTATTATTAAAAGACTTCCAGCCAATGCTAAATTAACCTGTGGCACATTTTTATCGCTAGTAGTTCAGAATATGAAGCACCCTGGAAAGTGAACTGCTTCTACAACACAGTATTTAGGAGCTTGTAGGATCCGTCCCTTCTCCAGGAAACAGTGTCTACTCCCCTTCAATAAAAAAGCAGGCAGTCTCATACTATAGTCTTTTAACTACCTTGGCAGCTAAGCAGTCCTAATCATTAATTGATTTTAATGATGATAAGTACTTTAAGTTATATTTGGCCCCCAAAGCAGCTTGGAAGCAACCTGTCTTCAGTGTCAGTTTTGAAATCCAGAACCCTGTTGTGATCCCGTAAGCCAGTGGTTCTCAACCTTTCTAATGCCGCGACCCCATAATACAGTTCCCCATGTTGTGGTGACCCCCAGCCACTTATACATCACCAGGTGCCAGGGGTGTGGCCAAAGAAAAGGGGAAAAAATGGCGGACAGCCTTGTTGGGCAACCCCCGTGAAATGGTCGTTCAACCCCAAATGGGGTCCCGACCCACAGGTTGAGAACCACTGCCATAAGCCAATCTATACTCTCTTTGGTTGATTAATGGAAAGAGCGCCGAAAATGCTGTTTTATCAATTTAAAATCCCCGAATATGGATTCTTAAGGGAGATTAAAAAAAAAACCTCTTTTCTACTCTAAACAAAACAAAATACACAAAGTATTGCAATCTCACCCACTCCATTCCACAATGGGAAGGTTTATGGGGCACTACGATTTGTAAAAAAATGGAAACACACATGCAGAGGCACATAAATGCCTCTGATGGGTTAATGATAACATTTTGGCAGCTTTTCCCTTTGGCAGCTTTTCTCTAGTCATTGGGGCCTGTTGCTGTATATCAGTGGTTCTCAACCTGTGGGTCGGGACCCCATTTGGGGTCGAACGACCATTTCACGGGGGTCGCCAAACAACGCAGTCCGCCATTTTTTTCCCCTTTTCCTTAGCTGTGCTACTCCCTTTTATTCTATTGGCTTTTGAAAGCCAATAGAATAGACTCTCTTGAATAGAGTCTAATTCTATTGGCTTTCAAAAGCCAATAGGAATTGTCCAGGCTGTCTCTGCCCTGCTGAGCCCGCCAAAAGTCCCATTTTGCAAATGGTGCTGCACCAGTTGAGTAGTCCTCGACTTACATCCGGTTGAGTAGTCCTCGACTTACGACCGGTTGGGGGTCGCGGCATTAAAAAGTTGAGAACCACTGCTGTAGATGCTGGAGCTGTGATGGAGGTAATTTCTAAGCAATGAAGACAGGATTGAGGATTGCATTCTAAAATGCAGCCAG